TTGTTATGTATAATATAAAGGGAAAATTAATAATTGTTTTTTGTTGGACTACTGACAGCTGCAGCAGCAGCAGCAGCAGTAGCAGCAAAACAGCGCAACGGGCGGAGAAAAAAAATTATATATTCCGCGCATTAGTCGCCGACAACAAAGGAAATATAACGTCTAACTTCGTTTGAATTTTCTCTCTCTCTCTCTCTCTCTCGCTCGCTCGCTCAGTTTTCCGCAGCGTCCATTATAACGTGTTTTTGCTCTTTCTCGCGCACATGAAAGCAATTTCCTAATCCTATATCTCTATCCCTCTCTTCAATTTTTAATTTTGTATCTTTATTCCATCGTTTCTATTTTTTAATTATAAATTTTCAGATATAATTTTTCCGCTTTTGAACTCTCGCGCTGTGCTGCTGCCGCGGAATTTTTCGTCGCGTTGTCGGACTCGCGTGCCACGAAGAATTAATCAACTGTCGCGCGCGTGGCTTCAATCTGCAAAGAGCAGCAGCAGCAGAAAAAAAACGTATTTTTTTAATAAACTGCCGCAAACGCAGCGGCGAGAAAATAACCGAAAGAATTCATGCACTGCGCGCGGAGATAGAGAGGGGGAAAAATAGTTATTTATGTAACAAGTGCCCAAAAGGCGTTTTTGGGCACGAGTGTACGGAAAAAGACACGAGTGCCGGCTATGCCGGCACGAGTGGGTGTTTTTTCCGCACATTGTGCGCAAAAAGCTGGGCACGTGTTGCATACAAAATTTTATGCAATAGGAGACGAAAAATACTTTCATTTAAATGAGGCGTTTTACCGCACACCCGTGTCCAAAATGAGGCATTTTACCGCACACAAGTGTCCAAAAACGCTTTTTGCGCACTAAAAAATGTGCGAAAAAAGACATTTTTCGTCATACTATTGCATAATAGTTATTTATGTAACAAGTGCCCAAAAGGCGTTTTTGGGCACGAGTGTGCGGAAAAAGACACGAGTGCCGGCTATGCCGGCACGAGTGGGTGTTTTTTCCGCACACTGTGCGCAAAAAGCTGGGCACGTGTTGCATACAAAATTTTATGCAATAGGAGACGAAAAATACTTTCATTTAAATGAGGCGTTTTACCGCACACCCGTGTTAGTCCAGTGCACTTAGCTGAAAAAAGGCCGATTTGGACAAAAAATAATAGTAGCAAACGACCTATACCATGTTGTAGGGGGAGTCTCAGGGAGTATGTAGACAAAATCTGTCTCCATATGGAGGTGAACTTTTTTAGTTATTAACAAAAAACCGAGAAAAATTTGCCCTGTTTTTGGTTTTTTGAAAATAACTCGAAAACGAAAAAAGCTACGCTATTGGCCCCATGAGATGAAATTTAGAGAATTTAATCCCCTTTAAAACCCATTTTGTTACGACCCGATCGGATAAATAGTTTCCGAGAAAATTGAGGAAATGTGTGGAAAAACGTGGTTTTTTGCAAAATCTTCAAAAATTCATATCTCCGTTAGTTTTTGGAATTAAGGGGCGAAATTTTGCACAAAAGTAGCTCTTATTATGTAGAATAACTGTGCAAAATTTCAACCAGATCGGATGCAAAGTTTTGGAGATATTAATTTTACAAGATGGAAAGCGGCGATTTTGGTTTTTTGTTGATAGGCCGATTTGAGGTATAAAAAATTAACTTTTGGAACTTTTTATTACGGATTTAGAAACTAGAATAAATTTCCGACAAAATGTATATCTCAGTTCTCCTATTAGTTATGTAAAAGTATTAAAAAAATGCACGCAAACATTGCGCGTTTCGGCAAAAATTCGCGTCGTCGCGCTGCCGGGAGGCGGTGGTGGGGAGTCGAGGCAGCGGAGGAGAAGTGCCGCGCGACAGGTGTGTTGCCGGCTGCTATGGCGCCTTCTCGCTCGCGCTAACTCTCCTCGACTCCCCACCACCACTCCCGGCCGCGCGACGACGCGAATTTTTGCCGAAACGCGCAATGTTTGCGTGCATTTTTTTAATACTTTTACATAACTAATAGGAGAACTGAGATATACATTTTGTCGGAAATTTATTCTAGTTTCTAAATCCGTAATAAAAAGTTCCAAAAGTTAATTTTTTATACCTCAAATCGGCCTATCAACAAAAAACCAAAATCGCCGCTTTCCATCTTGTAAAATTAATATCTCTAAAACTTTGCATCCGATCTGGTTGAAATTTTGCACAGTTATTCTACATAATAAGAGCTACTTTTGTGCAAAATTTCGCCCCTTAATTCCAAAAACTAACGGAGATATGAATTTTTGAAGATTTTGCAAAAAACCACGTTTTTCCACACATTTCCTCAATTTTCTCGGAAACTATTTATCCGATCGGGTCGTAACAAAATGGGTTTTAAAGGGGATTAAATTCTCTAAATTTCATCTCATGGGGCCAATAGCGTAGCTTTTTTCGTTTTCGAGTTATTTTCAAAAAACCAAAAACAGGGCAAATTTTTCTCGGTTTTTTGTTAATAACTAAAAAAGTTCACCTCCATATGGAGACAGATTTTGTCTACATACTCCCTGAGACTCCCCCTACAACATGGTATAGGTCGTTTGCTACTATTATTTTTTGCCCAAAAAAATCTATCTGCACTGGACTATGTCCAAAATGAGGCATTTTACCGCACATAAGTGTCCAAAAACGCTTTTTGCGCACTAAAAAATGTGCGAAAAAAGACATTTTTCGTCATACTATTGCATAAAATAAATTATAACATCGTCCGATACATCGGCTCTACTATACGCTGTATACAGGAAAATTAGCCGATGCTCCCTCGGCGTGATATGCAGGTCAAATTTTACATTGTTCCAGCGCATATATAATGTATAGATGTGTGTGTGTGTGCGTTTCTCCGTTACCTTGCGTTTTCTCTCTCTCCATGTAAAACGCACGTGTCGATATATCTACGTAGGGAACGTGTACGTGTCTATGTGCAAGCGCCCTTTTATACTTGCTACATACAGGCACCAGCACGTATATAGGTAGGTAGAGAGAGAGAGGATCCACCCCCTCTGGCACAGTCAGGGCAGCAGCAGCAGCAGCAGCATCAGCGGCACAGCCTTGGGTTCGGCGGCGGCAGCGGCAACGGCGGCAGAAGGTAAATTCTAAATATAAACGAGAGCATATCGCTCCGCTCGCAGGCAGTGCTGTGCACGCGCCGTACTACAAACCACCTTTAATACTTCCACATGTATCGATTCGACGACTCACTCTGCTCTGCTCTGCTCTCTGTATGGAAAGCTGCTGTTGCTGTTCTGTCGCTGTAAAGCTGTTGCGACTCTAGCGATAATTTGTACCCCTTGTCTTTTTTTCTATTATTTCAATAATTATTTTCAACGTATCACCCGTATACGTCAGATCGGGCCACGCGTGTCAATATACAGGTATTTCGGATATTGAAAGATTATTATCTCTTTCGCGCGCGCATCGGACTCGGCGACGCCCACGTAATAATTACATTATGATCTATCTATCGTTGCTCAATCTCCACGTCTGCGGTTTATCTCGATGATCGTTCGTTTTTTTGTTTCTCTCTTCTTCCAGTAATTCATGGTCACGCGTCGCTTGAACGGTGTAATAATCGTGTGTATAATTGCGTAACGATACAAAAAATTTTCCATATTTAGCTCGTTGAAAACAAAAAATTTTTTTGCCTTACGCCCCGCCCCCCGCGTCTCTTTTGGAATTCGATGACATGTTTTTGTCACCTTTACGTAAGTCGGAGTACAACAATTAATTAATTAATTAACAGACGCTCGGCGCTGACAAATATATATACGTGTACTAAAAAAAGACCGAGAGAAAGAGATTAATTTTTAACGCCTGACCTGCACGGAGAGCCTATATTTATACTACGTAACGCGCTGAAAATGTCTCGGCAGTCAGCAGCAGCAGCAGCAGCAGCAGCTCTTATCGTAAAAGTGTCCGATTAGCCGATGATCGATGGGCGACCGAAATTAACGCTCGTGTGCGCCGCGTCGTTTGAGAGAAACGTTAAAATTAAAACAAAAATAAAAAAACTGAATTCCTCGTATAATTGATGCGCCGAAAGTATGTATATGTACATCTTGTTACATTATACGATTTACATTTGTTCGTCTCCTCGCGAGGTGTATAAAATGAAATTAACTATGCGCGCGAGCAGTCGGCCTTTTCCCCTTCTCGCGGCTGATATGGCGAGGCACGCGACGGACTATAATACCGCCGTTACCGATCTCTCTCTCTCTCTCTCTCTCTCTCTCTGCTCATTATTGCGCATTGTTACACGGTTCTCTTCTTTTTTTTCTATTTTTTTGTTTTATCGTTGCTTCGTTGCTGCTCTTCTCGCGTCGTAATTGTTCACCAGCTGCGAAAAAAATCGCCGGACTCGATCAATCGGCGCACCAGCTGCTGCACGAGTATGATCGCGAAGTTCTGAAATAACGAAAATTCGTGAAAATCGCGTGCAAAAAGAAAAAGAAAGTAAAAAGAATCGATTCCTTTTTTTGTTTTAATTTTCACCTTGAGAAATTGGGCGACGAGATCGTCGACGATATTCGGGAACATCTTGTGGATCATCTCCTTGATCGTGTCCGTCGATTCGTTACTCAGCAGCGACGTCAGTAGACCCATGACTGTACCGGATTATTTATTTATATTTTTTTTGTTGGCTGCTGCTGCTGCTGCGGACACAAACAAGACGACGAAAAGTGAGTTGCAAGAAAATAACATTCGCAAATTCATATCAACAAAAAATTTCGCCGCGGGGAGAGTAAATAAATAAAAAGGAAATAATATATTTCATCGACGCTCGTTCTTTTTATTTCGGTGCAGATCTCTATTTTTCCCGAGGCTAGACCGTACGCTGCTGCCATCGAGCGGCCGAGTCCCGAAACACATCGTTACGCCGTGACGCAGCGCAGCAGAAATCGACACTTGCGACTCTCGCTAGCTAAGATTCGCACGAGATAATTTTGATATTTATCATACACAAAGTGTAGCAGCTCGCCAGCAGACAGCAGCAGCGGTCGGCGGAGTTTGGGGATTTCACAGATTGCAGTCATTGCAGATGATGTATAATGTGTATTAATATATAAAAGCTTGCGACAGCAGCAGCAGCAGCGCACCACGACGACGACGCGCCTTTCTCAGTTATCTCGCATCATTCCAGAGCATAATATTATTGTCGTCGGTGAAGCAGCAGCAGCAGCATACATTACACACAGGATATCATGCTCGTATAATAATAAAAACGATCACCTGCGGAGCGGGTCCATCGTTGCATCAGCAGCAGCAGCATTAAAATACTTATAAATTTTGATCCCGCCGAAGAGACGCGACGACGATAATATTGTATTAGTGTATTATCAGTATTCACGCGTGTGTGTGTGTAAGTGTACCAGTGTGTCGAAATATATATGTGTGTGTTATAGCATGTGCCGATGTCGTGGAGTGCCATCGTACGTATATAATCGAGTGCGCCTGCTTTAATATATATCACACACGTATATATAAAGTAGTACGCGTGTGTGTTCTTCGTCGTGGTCGTCATCGCCGTCAATACATACATAGCGTATATGCTCAGTCAGTGTGTATACATACACACTCGGATCGCGCGCGTGCACCACACGTTGTTAGGTATACATACATACGTATTGGAATTACCTATTTGATAAGTTCTTTGGCTCTCTCTCTCTCTATATACTCTCGGCAATTGGAGTCGATTATGCGTGCACGACCACGACACGACGGGCGACGACGACGACGTGTGTGTGCAATAGCAGCAGCAGATGAGATCATTCACCCTCGCCCCGTTACTTTTTAATCGCACGGAATAACATATATAGATTGATATATATATTATAAAATATATGTGCGTTGCAGTAGCAGTAGTAATGATGATGATGACGATGATGCCCACTGGTAGGTCGAATTTTTCATTTAAACACGCACACTCGTGCCTCGTAATCAATCGTGCTCTCTCTGTCTCTTGCATGTAACGACGATACGCCAGACGATGATTTTGATTCGTGAATCAAAGACGAGAGCAGAGCAAGGACAGCAAAATGTTGAGGGATTCGTCGGACTTGGGGGATGACGAGCAGAGGAGTCAGGACGCCGCCACGAGGGAGGCCAACAAGATCTGCGGAGTCTGCGGCGACAAGGCGCTTGGCTACAATTTCAACGCGGTCAGCTGCGAGAGCTGCAAAGCGTTCTTCAGAAGAAATGCGTTAAAAAACAAGGTGAGAGAAGCACTCTGCGTCCTTGACAGTCGGTTATCTTTTCATTGTGTGAAATACATTGTCAGACCAACCGGGTTGTATCTCTCTTCGATTGAGAGATAATGTTTCAATATAACAGATTATGATTTCAAGGTTTCGCACTTATGACCGAGTAATGATTGTCCATGTCTTTTGATGCTTTTCAGGACTTTCGCTGTCCGTTCACTGAAAATTGCAAAATCACACCTGTCACACGAAGATTCTGCCAGAAATGCCGCCTGGACAAATGTTTTCTGATTGGAATGAGGAAGGAATATATCATGTCCGAGGAAGATAAGGTTTTGAAGAGGTTAAAGATTGAAGAAAACAGAGCAAAGAAGACACCCTCAAAAAAGCATAAAGGAGATAACAGCATCGATGAGTCAACGTTCGATGATAACTCTACCTCCATCCCTTCGATTCCTTCAGTCGCTTCAGCAGTGTCGGAGCCTTACTTTTGGGATTCTGAAAAAAAGTACACCGATCTCAATCCCAATAAGCAACAAACTGTTGACAGTCTTAGTCCAGTCACAGCAGCTAGTTGCCCGAGTCCCTCGAGCCCTCCAGAAAACTGTGACATAGCTAGTAGTAAAACATTAGAAATGCTAAAGGATTCCTCGAGCAATTCAAAGAATAATTTCATTAAATATAATCATTCCGAATCTTTTAATTCAGCTAACATAGCTCAATGCGCTTCTAGTCAAGGAAATTTTGATGTAAATTTGTGCTCTGGATTAGAAGGAAATGGATTATGCAATAATGGGTCTATGGTTCTACAAAAGCATGATTTCAGAGATATAGAACCTACTTGTCCCAAAATAATTAAAATTGATGATCAATGTTCAAAGTATACAATTTTAAAGCCAGTAGAAGAACAAAATATTTATTCTAAGTATGGAGAATGTTCTACTAGTTCAAGAATGCTTGAATCTTGTTCTAATCAAAACTCTGCGCATGTTATATCACAATTTAATGTAGAAAATTCAAGTGAGAGTGAGAAATTAAGAGAAGTGATTTCAACTGTATCTAATACAACTAAAGTGTCAGTAAATCCCATAGTTGTATCTAAATTAGCGAGCAATCCAAACGTGATAGCAAAGGTAGTACAAGATCAAAGTGTTCTTGCAAAACTGTTTTCAGATCCAGAAATCATTGCAAAATTGATATCTGATCCTCAAATATCCCAGTTATTGGAAGAAGAAAATATTACAGTGCCAGTTGCTGAAGAAATAAGTCACGATAATACTCTAATTGCAACCAAAGCTGATAATAAAGAACCTTCTAATAATAGTCAAGATGATATAATTAAGAAAATATTAAATGATAATCAAAGTCAGGAAAATCCAATTTTACAAAATTTAATTACTACAAATGCAGAAGATCCCCAGAATTCATCTGCAAATGCTGGTCTTTCCAGCCATTGGTCAATTAAATCTACAGATGAGGTCACACGAGATGTCTTGCAAGATGTTCAAAAGTACGCTGAAGCTTTTAAATATCTTTTTAAGTGTTAACATTTAATTTAATGTTTCCATGTTCATTTATTTCAGGTTGCCTATATCAGCCAATTCTATTGAATCAATATTGTGTGAGGCCATCAAATTGGAGTTCTCAGCTTATTCTGCATTAGGAGGTAGTCACACTAACAGAGAGCTGAATGATTCAGAAAGAGCCAAACTAAATGAACTGATAGTAGCTAATAAAGCACTACTGGCACCTCTTGACGATGACCTTACAAATCTTGTAGGAGATGATTGTAGATTTAAGGTATATTTAGTTGTTTGTAAATTTAATTATTGTAACTCATTGACTGTCACGTTAACAAATATTTCTTTTTTTTTTCAGGGAAAATCTGGACAGTCTGATCCAATGTTGCTAGATGTCATTAATTTGACTGCAATAGCAATACGACGTCTTATAAAGATGTCAAAGAAAATCAGTGCATTTAAAAATATGTGTCAGGAGGATCAGTTGGCTCTGTTGAAAGGTGGATGTACTGAAATGCTCATACTTCGATCAGTGATTAATCATGACCCTGATAAAGATATTTGGAAAATTCCTCACAGCGAGGAAAACTTGTCAAGAATCAAAGTTGACGTTTTGAAGGAAGCTAAGGGCAATCTATATGCAGAACATTCGAGATTCGTTAGGACATTCGACCCAAAATGGAGAGACGAAAATATTATTTTAATTTTATGCGCTATTGCATTATTTTCCCCAGAACGACCGCGAGTCGTTCACAGTGACGTCATAAAACTTGAACAAGTAATTATTTAAATTTAACAAGAAAAAAAAAGGATAAATTTATTGAACAGGTTGTTGAAATTTACCTTTTTTTAAATTCCAGAACTCGTATTATTATCTACTGAGACGATATTTGGAAAGCATATATCCTGGTTGCGAGGCCAAGTCAACTTTCTTGAAATTGATTCAGAAAATTTCTGAGCTCCACAGATTGAATAACGAAGTGGTTGGAGTTTATTTGAATGTGAATCCTTCAAGCGTAGAACCATTGCTGATAGAAATATTCGATTTGAAGCATTAGGATAATGTGGATAACCATTCTCGTTGTACATCACAATGAGAATGGATCTATCGTGTATTTTTTTTATCACGAAGCAGCTCTCAGTGATATTTTAGTATATAATAACATCATTTTAATCTTCTTAGAACTTATATTTACATCGAGCAAGTTATTACTTTTTTTAGAGATTTATCACAAAGAAATGTTTTTTTCTTATAGTTTATATTTAAATTTTCGAGCAAAAAAACTATTATGCTTTCCATTTCTCTAAGCAAAGTGTCACTTTTGACCAATTTTGCAATTTTGTAAAATAGTGTATAGATGCTTCTTTACCTGAATGGATTCTCTCCTAGGCGAACGCTTAGAGAGTTTGCACTTTAACATTGTTGATATTAGTATTAAAAGTTTATAAATCTACCAGTTAGCTAAGTCACCTAATTTACGACTTCATATTATGAAGAAATAATATTTATAGATTAAATAAGTTTTGACAATTGTTAAATGGTTAAGTATTTTAATATTGAAAATCTGCCACGTTTAAGATAAGCTTTTCAATCGTGAAAATCAAACATACCTGCATACTTCTATATAAAATCAATCTGAATTCCAAATCTTTATTTGCACTACACAAAGAGCGAGGAAAGGTATGTGGGGCGTGACCTGTAGGAAAATTGTACATACAATATACATGTTATAAAATCAGAATATATTCTTTTTCATAAAAACAATGTGGTTTTTGTTCACGTCTTTACCTTGCTCATAAAAATGTATCATGTCTACTTTAAGCGTATTTATAAAAAAATGTGTACGTCCATCAATTGCCGGTCGAGCTCTCGCTGTCGTCGCGAGGCATGAGTATCTCGAGGAAGATCAGTATCATAACTATCGTCACTGACATCGACACGGAGAGCAGCAACAAAGAAAGTATAAAGAGAATTAGATAGAGGACAGCCTTGACCACGAAGGCTAGCAATGACACTGACCAGTCTACGACGGATTTTAATAAGTCAAAAATTCCAAACATATTACGGCACTATAACAATTAAAATTTCGAAAAAGGTTAAACACCATCGCGCGTCTTTACAGTTCATCGGATTGGTTTTTGTTTTTTTTTTGTTGTTGTTGTTGTTTATATTTCTCCTCGTCGTGCGAAACAAAACTATTTTTTTTTCTTAGAAAAAAAAAATCATAGCAACATTTATTACCTTTTTTTCTTTTAATTTACTACAGAGAGTATTAAGAGTATTTTTACATACATGTACTATATATATATTTTTTTTTCAAAGTTCTTGAAAATTCGATATGCTTGATAAATTTTAGAGAGTACGTATAAAAATATAGTCATCTCTTTGAAAAGTAAAAGAGTAAACATATTTTTCTGCAACTATGAATATACGGTGCATATTATAATTATATCGTTATACACATCGATTCGTTTAAGGCACTTTTTATAAAGATACTTACTTTTATACCTTACATAGATTCTACATAAAATAGCGTACATATATAAATGAAGACACTGAACTAAGTTTTACAATTGTATCGTTATTACCCGTACATGATCAAATTCTAAGGGCTAGATCGGAGAGAGATTGCGCTCGCGCAGAGAACAAGATTCATCGAAACAAATAATTAATCAATAATAATAATTATAAATATACATTTATCTAACGAATTATTAAAATAAAATTACAAAAAAAAAAACGAAAAATAAAAATTCAACATCGATCGCCACTGTCGTCGCGTCGATCCTATCTAATCTCGATGCTATTGCCGTAGCTCGACGCCGCCGCCGTCGTCGTCGTCGTCGACGAGCTCGTGGCCAATATTTTAAAAGCCACGGGTTGCTGCTGCTGAAGCCCCCCGTTGTGCATGTCGCGCTTGTAATGATAAAACTTCTCGGTGTTGCTCTTGTAGGTCTTGTGCAGGGTCGCGCAGTTGAGCTTGTCGGCGGCTATGTAGCAGGCGCCGAGGGCCGCCGAGGTCGTGAGGCGCAGCAGGGTGAGCTCCGCCACGTTGCCGCTCTTGTGCAGCTCCTCGATGAAGCCCGGCTTGAGGTAGTCCCAGGACTTCCAGACCGAGCCCACGCAGATGACCTTGAGGCCGCCCTTCTCCGTCTTCAGATCCTGTATATACATATTACGACATGAACATATTTATAACATTTTTTTTTTTTTTTTATGTACGCACGTTGTGAGCTTTGCAGGTGATGGCGTTGACGTGCTTGGCCAGCATCAGTCCGGCCTCGTAGAACAGCAGCAGACAGAGCGGATCGCCGCGCTCGCAGCCCAGCGCCAGCTCCTTGGTGAACATGGCGAACTTGCACTTGTTGAAATTCGCGTACAAATGGGGCAGCATACCCTGCTGGTCCTGCACGTCGAAGTAGCTCCTCATCGCCGGCCATACGTAGCTCGTCGGCCTCGGCGCCTGGCACAGGCCGTCCATGTCGTCGAAGACGTACTTGACGGCTCGGAAGGCCAGCCAGTAGGCGCCGCCCTCGTCGCCCATCATGTAGCCCCAGCCGCCGCAGCCGTAGGTCTTGCCGTCGGGATTGATCAGCAGTGCGTTGCTGCCCGTGCCGGAGATGAGGACGATGCCGCCCTGGGAGACGCCGGTCTTGACGCTGCCCAGGGTGTCCGAGCCAACGGTGTAGTCCTTGGAGGCTGTAGGATAGAGTCTGAGCAGGGTCTCGGCCAGTCTGCGATTGCTCTTCTCCTCCTCGCAGCCGCTCAGGTTCAAGCCCTGTTGAAAAAAAAAAAAAACACGGATCAATTTAACGCGTCTCTCGTGCGATACGAGGATCGCGTGACGCTCGAATTAGTATATAGCTAGCGCGTAGACAGGCCAATCGTCGCATTTTTCTGCGTTGCGAAGCAGCAGGAAACGATGATTTATGGCGATTTAATGGACAACGACTCGCGCACGATTTTTTTCTCGATCGATACTTGCGATGTACGCGCGTGGAATCGTTCGATTAGTTCCCGGCGCTTAGTGCGGAATTGTTTTTTCGCGCGCGCCCGCGATCGATTTTTTCGTCGTTGTTACTCCTCGCTCGATATATCACACGCCCGACGTTTTTTCCACTTGTTGCGCGCCGTCGGCTGCACATCTGCGTGCGTATATATATAGATTACCACCGGGCTTAAAATGATGTACGGTGTATCTATTAATAAGGTAATGTACGCGCCGATCGATCGCGATTTTAATCGACAAAGCTCGGTCGAGAGCTGCGAACGGACGAAAATTTTCAGAAATATATATACTTACAACGATATCGTACGGCGTCGTCTCCGAGATATTCAGCTCTTTCTTGGATTTAACGATCATCTCGTTGATCCTGCTGGCCGTCTCCTCCATGCCCAACGCCTATACAGGAAAAAACATATAGGAAAACGAATGACGAAAATGCGACGGAAAAATAGATAACGTATAGAGAAGCAATTATATCGTATGTAACAAAAAGCTCTCTCTCTTTCTTTTTCGCTTCGATGCGTAGTCGCAGCAGCAGCAGCAGTACATCATATTACGTCGCCGCGAGGAAGCCCGGGGAATTTAAGATTGATTGGGATGGATCTGACCGCATCGACTCCAATTGTATTATTATAAGAGAGCTCACATGTGAGTCGCTTCATTGTGTGGAACTGCTTGCGTAATGTAATGCGCGATTTCGTCTTCTGCGCGCAAACGAGAGCGGCAAAACGTGCATATACAGCTTCAATCAATACGCGCGCGCACGCGGGTGCCATTTCCGTATATTCGTCATATTTTTTTTTTCTTCTTTTCAATCGCGTTAAATACAATTTTACTTTTGCGTACGACGCGTCTACTACGATCGGTATGACGCAGATCCGACCGTACACCGGATTCTAGGCACGATAACACGATGATGTAGAAAGGAAAAGAGTAAGAGGAGTCCAATTACCCAGTGATTCGTATGAGGACCTCTGACTTCGGCCAATTTTTTGCCCCTGCCGTCGACGACGAACAGCGTCGAGTGAGTCGCTCCACTGTACAAAAAAAAAGAACAGAATGAGAGAAAAACACATATCATAAAGTTATTATGAATTCAGACACAAAACTCGTAATAACATAATTCATTGCATAACGCGCGTGGTGTATCTCGTTCAAGTGCACTGTCCCCCCGCACGCGAGTATTTCGCAATTGTGTCCGTGCGTATAATACTTACACATATCGTTTGACCCGTTTTGTTTTTGTTTTTTTTTTTTTTGCTTTAACGCGATGGCGATATTGTAATATTTTTTGTTTAATTTTTCGGCGTGCGCGCGTTTCTCAATGGCAGCTTTTACTGGCAACAGCTGCGGATGAAGACGTCTTAATTGATAAGCAGCGAGGTGCGTCATTAGGTCAAAAGTACATAATTACACTCGCGCGCGATAAGGAAAATTCGGTTGCATAAGTAGGCAGCTTTTCTGATAAGGGACGAGACACACTCGTTCACGTGCAGGTAATAAAAGTAAATAATCCGAGAGCAGTGCTTTTAGTATGATTGAATTTTGGACATACCCTTCCACGCCGCCGATTCTCACGTCCTCCGGGTCTTTGTCGAGGCACTCGGTCGAGGCGGTCGTTTGTCCATTGGTTCGCTCCATCCTTGCTTATTTTTCTTCTTCTTATCCCCAAAGGTATAATGCTATACTCGCAGTTCTGGACGAGGTAATTCGATAGACACCACCGCGCACAATGGGAGTCAGCCGCCTCGGAGAGATGAGAGAGTCTGAAAGCGCGGCAAGTATATCGTATTATGTATCGTACGAGTCAGTGAAGACGATCCGACGACGAACGAACGAACAAAAAAAAAGAAAGAAAAAAAGGAACGTAAAAAACAACGACGAAATGTGGAGCATGAACGATAGTGTCGGGGCGCGCGCGCGATTATATGTGGAGCGAAAGATTGTGCTTAGCTCAGCAGCAGCAGCAACACTATTGTACACGCGACGACGACGACGACTCGGGGGATCGAAGAGAACAAAAAATTAAAATTATTAGATTAATTGGCTCGTGTATCGACGAATGTATTCGGCGAAATTGCGGAATATTCCCCTATACACATTATGTATATAATATATTCGAAATCGGCAAGCGTCGATTTTTTTCACGTATGCTTAATCGGCTGATTATAATAAATGACGTTGAAACAAACAAAACGCGATTGGTTGTATTATTAGAGATTTTTCGTCGTCGTCGCTGTCTTCTACTTTTTCGTGTGTTATTTTACTTTTTTTTTTTTTTTTTGTTCTCGCCCGTGCGTGCACCACCTGTATTTGCACACTCTTATTTAGGCAAAGAGAGACAGACAGCAGCAGCAGAGCTTCAACATACGTCGTGATAATTTATACTTATTTAATACACACTGTTACACTAATATCGTACGAGTACAGACGAGCGTTATATTAACTCTTAAATCATGTATCCGCTTATGTATGTGATAACGACACGTACGTGTGTACGTACGGAATAAAATGAAAAAAAAGTGCGAAACTCCGGTAGTGCACGTGCGCGCGCGGTGCACCTGTAAAAATATTTAAACTATCTATGCGGTAATTTTTAATAATTTTTATCACTATTGCGCGTTTCGAAGCACGCGAGTCTCGAAGTGCACGTGCGCGTGTAAAAAAAAGATAGTTAAACAAATAAAAAAATAAATAAAAAAATGCAACGATGCATGTACGCACGCGCGTTTGTGTACAATAGGCAATCGCTGCGAACGTCAAAGCCGTACAGCGAGACGGATAAATATTTGTGTGTATATATAGATACGTATGTATACCGCGCGGAGACACGCGAAAAAAGGAAAGGTGAACGTACGGTATGCCGCTGCTGATGCTGATGCTGCGTGTTATATATATATATATATAACGTTGGATCCAAGAGAGCCGAGAGAGCAGCTGTTATCGAGCGAAATCAAAGAATCTCGACATGTGCAGTTGGTCGGAAGAGATTTTGGCGGATCTCGACTCGGTGCTTTCGATCCTTTCGTTGATCAGCGACGAACTTCTATCGTAAAGGAATACGAGTTGCGTCGATAACCGCAGTTTTTCTGAATTAAAAGTTGCAACAACCACAACAACGACGACGACCTTTCGACCAAGTCAACGCGTGGACTTTTAAAGAGCACAGCAGACAACAACTCGTGTCAGCGAGAGAGTGTCAGTTCATGTGCACACACGGGAGGAAAATTCCTCTTCCCTCTGCCTGTCTGACTGCTGCCGCCGCCGCTGATGCACGGAGAGAGAGATGGTGGATATTATAATACACACAAAAGCAACGAGCCCGCGACCAACTCTCCCAATCGACTGAGAGCCATATTGCACGGCGTGATCGTATAGAGGAGCAAAGCAACGCCAGCAGAACCGGCGACAGGCTCTCTCGCACACACATATAGTAGCTATATAATACATGTGTATAACACACACACAACACTCGCGCATGCGAGACTCTGTACATATTATACTCCCTCCCACCCGTACTGTACGTTATATACTTTTCTCGTCGTGCCTACTACATGTATAACGTATCGCGCTTACTACTGCACGGCTGATTTATGCATCGCCTCGGTTTATTGCGTGTCAATGTTAACTCGAGAGGAAGAAAAGTTTCGGGACGAGATAATAATACGCGAGACGTATGTGTGTAACGCGCGATTGTTATGATTCGCGTGACGTACTATACTACATCCACTGGCGCAGCCAGAGTACATGCACTATCGCGAGGTTATATACAGCGGAGCTTGCGGCAGCGCGACGAGAGCTTTTTTTTCCGCGCAAGCGCCTCGCGCGCCTGACACGATACTCGACTGTTTTTTTACCCGATTACTCGAGCTTTGATTCGTTTGTTTTTTTTTTGGGATAGTAAATAAGACTTGTATGATATATTGATCCGAATGAAAAAAAAAGTATGGATTAAAGCTCGCGAATGACCGTAGATACTGGCCCGGTTGTCGTAGTGTACATTTTTATGAATTATATGTACATTCATTGTGACTCGAACGGGACGAAAGAGCTAAAAATATACGCACCGTATTTTATACTGAACCACCCGCGCGCGAGCGAGATCGAGACTTTCGAAAATATTACGCGACGTACAAGATACGCTTGTGTGACAGATATCGGTGGATAAGTACAGGTTGAGAGGAGGGGCCAAAAGGAAAGGATCAATGACAACTCACAACATGATCGATTGCCCTGATATTGTCCGAGGACGAGTTACAGATCGGTGATACCATGAAAAAAAATATCGATATTTTTTAGTATGGAGTAATTGACCCTCAAAAATATCGACGTGAAACAATCAACAATTTTTACATGCTATTATCAAGATTCGAATAAACGATTGCCAAATGTTACGAGTTTTCTCCTTGACAAAGGTTAACAGAAAGTAGATTTAATTTTATCAATTATTATTTATTAACCAGCTATATGGGATATAGTTATTTTTAGATTTAATTTCGATAAACTGATCTTACACGACACTCGAGCGCTCAAGCTCCAACTTATTCTAGTTTTTGCGATTAACTGCAAATGCAATTTCGATTATTGTTAAAATCTAGCCCAAACATATATACACAGCAAAACCAACTAAATATTTCGTTACGACACTGGCAACTGCATAGGTCGAATCGAGAAGTATTCATTATTTTTTTGACAACATTTTTGAAATATTGCTATAGAACAAGACTAAGAAGACTTAAGAATTTGACCATTAGTTTATATAATCACGTGTGTAATATAATTTATAGGAGGTGTGGGTTCATAGACATTTTTCTCATTTGAGTAAACATTTCTTCGTTAGATATCACACGTATGTAAAAGCCATTATAGTCCACTATGGAGGGAAAAAGATACCACGAGATAAGCTCGTCAATCTATACGAGTAGTGCGTTCAGTCACTATAACTTCTTTTAGTTGAGCAAGCATTTACGTAGACGATACCCGAAAAAGTGTGTAGCTAGTAGTACACTCGAGGTGCTTAACCACGAATATCGCTTCAGTGCCGCATAGATTTCCAGTGAATATATGTGTTAAAATCGAACGAGTGATGGAGAGCAGAGAGGACCCAGTGAGGTACAACATTTTTTTGCGCATGACATGCTAATTTCTCAAATGATCTCTACGTTGAACTTGTTTATTCTTCAGGGTAAAAGAAGAGCCGAACGACACTGGGCCACATACAGGTGACAATTATACTTTCCATACGGTGGACTCTAGCGATGTCAAAAAATCCGAAAAGCTCACGGTTATTCAATCGTCGGTGAGTAAAATGATATTAATTACGTTTCGTTTTTTCGAAATCCAAAACTAATCAACAATTTTTATTTTAGAAAGATATGGCGTTAGATGAAAATATTATCATCGATTTTGAGTGTCAATATGTTAAAATTGAAATGACATCTCCATCCGCAACCATTCGTAAAAATGAGCATAAAATTGATTCATCTATTGTTAAAGTAGAAAACGAAAATCAGATCGAAGACACGAACGAAAAAATTTTCATAGATTTTGAGTGCAGAGATTTTAAACCTAAACTGGAGCCTTTGTCGACAACCAGCTGCAAAACTGAACTTCAAGAAAGTCGCCTACCTAATGAGGAAGTAGAAAATGAAAACGAGACCAATAACATAAATGAAGATATATTCATAGATTTTGAGTGTCAGGATGTTAAACTTGAACCTATAGTAAAAGTAGAAAATGAAAACAAGACCAATAACATAAATGAAGATATATTCATAGATTTTGAGTGTCAGAATGTTAAACTTGAACCTATAGTAAAAGTAGAAGTTAAAAGTAGTTGTCGTTTTGAAGAAAATTTTCAACGAAAATTGGATAAGCGTGAGAAGATGCATACACAAACTCCTCATACCAAACTACTTCGTAAGGGTAAACAGTGGCGAGAAACTCATAAAAAAAAAGTAAGTCTAAAAAGATCCATCAATATGACAACGAAGAGTATCAGACCTCATGAATGTGAAATTTGTCATAAATCATTTGCCTACCAAAGCTACCTTAAACGTCACGTCAACGCAGTACATAGTCGAACCTTTGAATGTGATACTTGTCACAAATCATTTGGACAAAAAAGTAGCCTCAAGACTCACATAAATAAAGAACACGGTAGTAGCAAACTCTTCGAATGTGATACTTGTCACAAATCATTTAAACAAAAAATTCTCCTAAAAAAACACTTAATAGTACATGATAGTAGCAAATCCTTTGAGTGTGTGATTTGTTACAAACTATTTAAATATCAAAGTACCTTAAAAAAGCACACCAATACAATACATTATCGTAAGGAACGCTTTGAGTGCGACATTTGTCACAAATGGTTAAGCGGTAAGCAACACCTCAAAACTCACAAAATGGTAGTACATAATGGTAGCAAACCATTCGAGTGTAAGGTATGTCATAAGTCATTTGGATACCAACATCACTTAAAAACTCATGTTGATACTGTTCATTCACTTGTTCAGAATCCGAGCAAACCCTTTGAGTGTAAAATTTGTCGCAAATCATTTGCACACAAACAATACATCAAAAATCATATCAATATTGTACACAGTCGGAATTCATCCTTCAAATGTGATATTTGTCACAAATCATTTGCACGGAAAAGTTCCATCAAAAATCACATAATGACAAGGCACAATTTTAGCAAATCATCCTACGGGTGTGATATTTGTCCCAAATCATTTGGACAAAAACAAACGCTCACTAGGCACATAAATGCAGTACATAAACGGAGCGAATCCTTCGAATGTTGTTTTTGTCACAAATCATTTGGATATAAGGATACGTATAAGAAACATATGAATGCAGTTCATAATGGTATCAAACCATTCGAGTGTGAGATATGTCATAAATCATTTGGATACCAACATCACTTAGAAACTCATGTTGATACTGTTCACAATCGTAGCAGACCTTTTGAGTGTAAAATTTGTTCTAAATCATATAAAGAAAAAGGCTACCTCAATAAGCACATTGAGCGAGTACATGATCGTATAAAACCTTACAAGTGTGTTATTTGTTTAAAATCATTTGGATACAATGCTGATCTTAAGAAACACATAAAAGCAATACATGATTGAAGCAAACCCATCGAATAAGATATTTGTCACAGATTATTTGGATACCAGCATACGTTTTAATTCACGCGAATGAAGTACCATGTCGTCAAAAACCTTTGGAATGTAATAATTATCACAAATCTAATAAACCGATCTTTGATTATTTCATTTAAAAATTTTAATTTTTCTTCAGATTACTATGACAGTAGAAAATCGAATGTAAAATTTGTTACAAATATTTTTCAAATAAAAGTTATCTAAATAAACACATAAGTTCAGTCCATTATCGTATCAAACCCTTTGAATGTGATATTTGTCACAAAACATTTAGACAAAAAAGTAAACTCAAAAATCACAAAAACATAGTACATAATCGGAGCAAATACTTCGAATGCAATATTTGTCAAAAATCATTTGGACACAAAAAAAGCCTCAAGAATCACACAAATTTAGTACATCACAGTAGCAAACCATTCAAGTGTGAAATTTGTCTCAAATCATTTGCACACTACAGTGGACTCAAAAGACACATAAGTGCAGTACATGATCGGAGCAAACCCTTCTAATGTGATATTTGTCAAAAATCATTTGGACGAAAAGGTTAACTCAATTCGCACATAAATGCAGTAACATAATTCACATAATTGTAGTTCATGGCCTCGTCAAATAAGATATTTGTGATAAATTATTTAGACACAAGAAAATGTTGAATGTGCAAATAAAAATGTACAAAAAGGTAGCTTATCTTTGGATCGTAAGACTTGTGGCGAAACATTACTGAACATCATCTAGAATTCTGCCCTCTCATGAGAGTACGTTCCGTAATTTTATAAAAAACTGGCAGAAAAATATCTTTTCATGTTGTAACGATCAATAAAGTCATTTAAACTGTTATTAATTTCGTTGTGATTATGAAATATCTTATATCAACATAAACTAACATACCATAGCAAGGTTTTTAGTTTTTCAAGTATGCCAGATAAACCGATCTTTAATAATTTCATTTATTAATTCAATATTTTCTCAATTACCTACTTCCTATTGATGTTACTGTAAAAATCATCCCATATGCCGATCCTTACAAATAATATCCATCCACAATTTAACAGCACCAATGATCGATAAAAAAACTTTGTAAGTTGTCATAATTCATGCCACTAATTAATGCAAAGTAAATTTGATGAAAGAAGGATATTATTTGGCAATAATAATTCAACTTGGATTCGTACTTAAATATGGGCAGATACACAAAGTAAAACTTCAATTTGAGATCAAAAATACAAAAAAAGTGTCAAAGTGAAATAGTATCGTTTACTTCTGATCACGAGTAATTCCAAATAGATACAGCGGACACCTTTGAGTTATGCTATATTCACGGAATCAGCCGATTTGAATGCGATATTTTTTATTATACAAAAAAATTGATACCTTACCGCCCGCGAGGAGATTCCAGCCCGCTTCCAGCTGTGCTCGAACGACATCTGCTGGATGGAGATTCAAATATCTCGAGCTTGACAGTGTACACACAATCGATACGATATAAAATCTTGATAATACCGATCACTGGTGCGGCATACACCCGCGCGCGTCACCTTTGCATTTGTCTTTGAAAATTCTCGACGCTGAAAAAATTACTCGTAAACTGCGACGACGACTCGAGCTCAAAAACAGCTCGAACACACAGAGAGTCACGTACGATTTTACACAAGAGAATACGGTGGAAAAATTCTCGGTTACGAATCGTCGATCGATAGTGCAGACGTGTATACTGTAGGACGTGTCTCGTTCTTCTCGTTCGAAATTCGAATATCGCGGCGTGGTGCACCTTTACGCGAGCACCGCTTGAATTTTCAACACTTAACCTCTCTCATGCCGGCGGAGGTGCGCATAGACGTTACATTATATACAAAATGGAACTGCGCGACGCTTATCGCGCGGGTGGTGCACTCTCTTTTATGTATATACACGAATGCATTTTAATATACCGCACGTTGTCGGATGCATAGAGATGGGCATCCATACTTTATATATGGAGCGCTGCTCGGTGCTCTGCTGTACCTACGTTACACCTATATAATACTACAAACGTGTGTGTATGGGTAAATGCGGCGCCGATTATTATTGTTATTATTGTCTCGAGCCGCCTGCGCTGCTGCTGCTGCTGTTTCAGGCTTGTGCCTGTCTGCCCCTGAGTCGGCACACGTATACATGTTTAAAACACGGTGAAACCGTCTCTGTTCGCCTGTGTGTGTGTGCTGTATATGTTTACGTGTATATGTACTGCCGCCGTCGCTGCTGCTGCCGTTTCGATATACACACGCACGCGTATAAACGTTCGTGTGCACTCTCACATCTGTACCGAACGCAGTGCTGCACACACGCACACACACGTATACAACGTACGTATACACAATAAACATATAAGTGTACAAGACAATATATATATATATCTCGTCCTCGCGCGCGCAGCAGCGGCACTGCCGCAGTTAATTCAGGCCTCTCCGTTGTACTGCACTGCACCTACTACTGCACCGCACAGTCCCCGTTATATATATATACATCTCGTTCGTGTGCATTTATATATATATAATGGTTAATAGCGAGATTGAAGGAGTAGCGCAGCATAGCCTACTATAGTATACACATAGTAGTAGTAGTAGTAGTAGTGCCAAGCAGCAGCAGCAGCAGAGAAGAAGAAGTGCACGTTACACATCTATATAGAGGAGCGTGATATGTGTCTCGCCTCGCACTGTCCTCCTGTGCTGCACGACACGACACACCACAAGGTGGTTACGAGCTGAGTCGGCTCCTCGATATCTCCTCGACGCATTTATACATAATATTTTTATTTGTGTTTTATCGACGGTGCTGTATAATTGTGACGCGAGCGCGAGTGATCCCCTGTCTCTTGTGTCTTGTGTCTTCTTCGTGTATACTCATACATACTACGTGTATACATCAGATGTGCGCGTGTGTGTGCGTGCCGCGCGCGCCCGACGTCTGTAATATGCGATGATAATGTGCTATCGTGCATCGAAATCGACGATATGATAGGGAGGAGAAAATATCGAGGATCATCGTTGCATAGTATGCTTTAGTGGTGCGAGAGAGAGAGAGCGAGAAACTAGGAAGAATAAAGCGAAGCAGACCGAGAATCATCATCAAGAGCTCGATGCATCATCGTCGTCGTCCTGAGGAGCGGCAGTGGCTGAGACTCGAACGACAACAACAACAACAACAACAACGTGTACAACAACTAGAACAATCGGTGCTCATGGTCGTTGCTCGCGCGGATCAACAACGGCCTGCGTCGACCCCGAGACGACCGATCTGACATGCAGCCGGACTGCAGCAGCAGCGGCCTGCTGAATCATGGCAGCTGTACAGGAGACAGCCCAGACTCTGCTCTATCTCTTTAAGACCAGCAAGTATCGTCGGCGACGACGCAAACCACCGTCGTCGACGGCCTCGGCTCTGCTGTTGCTGCTTCATCTTCTAGTCCTTGGCTGCGTCCTGCAGCTGGCCCAGGCCACCAGCATCGTGGGCTTCGGCGTCAGCAGCGTGGCCAGCTGCGATCAGGACAATTGCCAGAATGGCCAGTGCATCAACGGCAGCTGCGTCTGCCACGACGGATGGCAAGGGCCCAATTGTCAGTACTGCGCCAGCAAAGTCAGGTGAGTCTGAGCTCTCTGTGGGTATTTACACACACATGCTCGCTGTGTCAGACTGACTCAAGAGCTGATGTGTTAAAGAGTTTGCGACACATTCTTATCTGTGTGACAATGAGCAGCACAATGACTCTGTCGCTCTGCCATGGCTCTCTTTTTTGCTTGCTTGCACAGAGATAGGCTAATTATCTGCAGAGTATTACGGTTCCGATAACTACTATTACTACTCGTTGGGGAGCTAGTTAACAAAATGTTATCTCAATTTTTAGCATGTTAATGAGTGAAGTCTGGTGATGCGTATGCATCTTTTTTAATGTCATCTTTGTAAACATACAACAATTTTCTGTTTGTTTTATTTTGTATTTACATTACATGCAACTAATATTACATGACAATTTCTAATTTGCTGAAGATAAACTCGAGTGCGTGCAGAGTCAATATATCAGCACATTGTTTTATGTTGAACTATAGATTGATAATGTAAATAAATATTTGATAATTCTGACGTACATACAAATAGCAATGATAATTTCATTAACATATTTCACAAACTAAATCCTATAATTTTGATACTTTTAAGATTAAGTAATTGAATTGAATTATTATCTTCATTAGTTGTTACCTTTGAAAAACTAAAACAGTATAAAGATTCAAAACTACTGAAAAATTGTCACTATCAAACATATTGTACTCAAAGATTAAATCAAATAAAACGGATAATCGATTTTAAAATCCACACAGTTGATTACATCTGATCAGCACGATACTTTATTAAAGCTAAATTGCACTGAACTGTAAAAGGCCTGGCACGCTGCACAAAGCCTTTTTTCTTTTCTTTTTTTTTTTTTTTCATCCACACGTATGGAACAATTTGCCAGTGTATCTACCACACATAATCTTTGCTCATTAGTGCGCGTAATTTCACGCTCATTTTTCATTAATTTTTTTTTTTGTCCTTCTGTTTGTCCCAACGCACGACGTTGGAATAAAAAATTTTTCGTTCGCGCCAAATAAATTATTCGTGTCGCGTGACAACACCTGCGTTTGTTGTTCGATTACCCATAACGTACCTATATCTATATTAAAATATTATACTTTCTAATTTTTTTTTTTTTCTTATCACGGTCGGCATATAAGAATCGGCACGTGTTTGTCTTTTGCGAATTGAACGATACACATTAGTATAATAAGTAGCATATACGTAAATAATAGACGCGGCAACCGTGAGAGAAGAACCCACACGAATAATTGCTCGTTTAACTTCCCAGCTCTCGTTACGTGCACACCTTTTATACTTTTCCTACTTTTTTTTTTTTTTTTTTTTTTTTTTTNTATTTTTTTTTTTTTTTTTTTTGCTTCTTTTATTACGCAAGCCACTTATAAACGACGGGTAATTTTGATTTTATCGGTCGAGCGTAAAAAACATAAAAAAAGGAGGAAAGAGAGAAAAACAACAACGAGGGACAATGAAAATTTGCTTTTGCCCCTTCCGCGCGCGGCGGCACACGACGACGCCTGTACAACATATAAAAAGATAATAATTAAAAACAAATATACATTTTATTATCGATGCTTAGCCTCTCGTCAAACATTTATCCTTCATAGAGCACACGCACGTACGCTCTATAAACAGCAGCGACCGATTGCCGATAATACATTGTATTATATACGTGCTCGGTGTCAAATCCGCGGAATTACGCGCAGTAGCAGCGATATACAAGTATCGGGCCTCTTTTTTTGTCGTCGTTTTGTTGTTTTATCTAACGGTGGGTGTGGATCCCCCCCGAGTACCCAATGATCGTGAAATGTATTCCGTTCCTTTCTTTCACCACTACACCGACTAATTTTCTGACCGTGGCGCGTGGAACAAAGGCCAAATAAAACAAAAAAAAACTTCGCGAGTGCGATGATCATTTTATTTGTCCGCTGCAGTAGTGCGTGACGACGCGACTACTACTCGTGCATTAAATACGCGCGGAGGCGATAAGATATAGAAAATGAAACGCCGCAAGCAGCGCGTGTCACCGTCGCAGCCTAGTGTAGTACACATTATAATATACATAATAACAACGATTGTCGAGGAGCGCGCGTAAAATACCCGCGCGTTTTTTCTTTTCGTAAACAGAGAGAAAAACACTAACCGCTCGAGATCGGAAAATGGGTCGAAATGAGGAGAGAGAGACAGACGGATGGATAAAAAAAAGTCCAGTGTACCGTACGATGCACACGTAACACTGTACGAACTTACTTTATACATACACCGTGTGCGCGCGATGTTCAAAGAATCTACGATTAATCAGTCCTCCTCGGGCGCGGATAATTACTCACAATTGAAACTCGTCCGACTTTTCTGCAGCGCGCGTTAATATGCCCTGCGCATACCTACCTCGTATATATGAGCCGGGGCGCGCGACGAATATTAAAAGTAAAAAATGAAACATCATTTTCTTTCGTCGCGACGCGTCAACCTACTTATTGTCTCGGCGTCGGAGGCGATCCAAATTTTCTTTTGCGCATCGAGCACACAACACACACGGGTGGGCGGGTTGGTCATCGCGTTTTGTAAACATGTGCGTATACTGTGTATAAAAATTCCACGATCCCATTAAATTTTTCTTTTTTGTCGACGCGCGGCATCTGCAAACACACATGTGAAAATATAATACGATACTTTGTGACGCGCAGCTGCTGCTCCGTCGGCGACTCATCGATATAGTGTATATCCGACACTTTTTGGCTTCCTCCTCACCCACCGCCCCTCGTCGACCGCGAAAAATCACATCGCCGCAAGTTTTTTCATTCCTCTATCTTATTTTTTTTTTTATTTACAGGCTGAGCGGTCCATCGGGCACGATCCACGACGGCGTCGGCAACTACACCACGGACGTCAAATGCTCCTGGCTGATCAAACCGTCGAGGTCGTCGGCTCTGCTGCCGTCCGAATTATCGGGCAGCAGCAGCCCCACATCGACGTCGACGTCGACCTCGCCGACGATTCGCATGCACATCGAGGAGTTCGCCACCGAGTGCGGCTGGGACCATCTGTACATCTACGACGGGGACAGCGTCGAGGCGCCCCTGCTCGGCGTCTTCACCGGCCTCATGCACAAGCAGGACTATCACGTGAGGCGCGTGCCCGAGGTCGTGGCGCGCAGCGGCAGCGCCCTGCTGCACTTCTACTCCGACGTGGCCTACAACATGAGCGGCTTCAATATCACTTACAGGATCGACGCCTGTCCCAGTAGGTGAGCGAGTATAGGGGAACAAAAAAAAAAGAAAAAAAAAATTGAAAAGAGGAGAGAAAACTGGACCGAGCTTCGTGCCCGCGCGATTTATGTATTTTATATTATATTATTATACGACACCTTGACTCGGATTTTTCTTTTTTTTTTTGCTTTGCTTTGGCTTTTGTAACTCGAAACCTCCGCTGCGGTTTTCGATTAACGTCGCTATATGTACGCTCAGGAAAGGAGAGCTCGTCGTTCGCTCGTTGTCTCTCTCTGGCATTATTGTTATTTTACAAAGCCGCGCGCAGCGCAGCACACACGACGAAGCGAGAGAGAGAGAGACGAGAGACGTTAATTATGCAAAGCAAATCCTTCGGAGATTTAACCCAGAGAAAATTTCCCTCTGACGATGCATCGTTCGACGTCTGTGTATTTTTGCGACGAGAGATGTATATTATATATGACGTTATATCTATAACGCAAGAGAGATGATACAGAGAGATTGGCTTGTTGTCGTCGTCGACTCGTCTCTGTCTCTCTCGAGCTAAAAGGGATAACGATTGCTCCGTTGGTTCGATAATATACGTCTATACCGTAAATGTACGCGTGTGTCTGTGCTGCGGGTGACGTATTACATAGACGTAGTCGCGCAAAGTTCGAAATATAAACATACTTAAAGTACGAGTAAGGGAACTTTCGTACTTTTGCGTCTTCTTCGTCGTCGTCTTCGTCTTTTTTTTTCTCTCTTCTCTCTTATACGTATACCAGACACGCGTGCGCCTATGTATTTTATGCACATACGCGTGCTAAAGGTCTTTGACATTATAAGATACAAACGTGCGCGCGTGAGAGAGAGAGAGAGAGGGAAAAATTGGAGGAATGCGTTTTCTTGCGCGTTAGATGGACTTCTCGCTCGCGATAACAATTGCCAAGTATTTGCGAAAAGTATTCGAGAAAAATCAATCAATTATCCGCGCGACCTGATTTTCTCTCCAAGTTTTCACAACGTTACGTGTATTATAACACACAGCCGATATCGAGAATCGGAGAATCGAGTTAAAAGAAAAGCTGATCTAAATTTAATCATTATTTGTTTTCTCCCCGCAGAAACTCGAGCGTCGAGTGCTCGGGCAACGGCCAGTGCGTCTACGGCAACTGCACCTGCAACGCCTTCTGGATGGGCGAAGCCTGCGACATCGAGATCTGCCCGAACGAGTGCTCGAGGCACGGCGTGTGCAATCGCGAGGCGCATCGCTGCGACTGCGACTCCGATTACACGGGTAAGCAGCTCCTATACTCCATCATATTTTTTCTGTATATTTACGCGTTATTGTATATCGTCGACTGACTTTGTTCGCGCGCGTGCGGCGCATGAATGCCACCTTGTTGTTTTTTTTTTTTTTTTACCGATCGAGGAGGAAGTCGCATAACTGTATAAAAGGCATTATTAAACAATCGTTAATGCTGTGTATATACGTTTTAGGTGCCGATTGCAGCCAAGCGAAGAATCAAGGCTACTGGGAGCGAGTCGATTGGACGTCTTCCTCCACCGCGTCGTCGTCGTCGTTACCCGAGGGATCGGCCAGCCACTGCTCGGTCGTCTGGAAGGACCAGCTCTACGTCGTGGGCGGCGAGAGCTTCCATCGCGCCCAGATGGTCTACGTCTACGACTTTCGTCTCAACGTCTGGGAGGCGCAACAGCAGCAAGCGTCGACGTCTAAAAAACAACCGCTGCCTCGCTACGGCCACTCGTGCGTGCTGCACGCCGACAAGATCTACATGTACGGCGGCGTGATCGAGAACTCGACGGTGACGAGCGAGATCTGGACGTACGACCTGGCGGCGCGCCAATGGGACAATCTGACGGCGCACGAGCGCTGCCATCATCGCTCGGCGATGTGTGGCCCGATCAAGGTGGCCGGCCACACGGCCACCCTCGTGCAGGATCGCCAGGACCCCGACAGACGCGACAAGATGGTCGTGATATTCGGCCACTCGCCCCAGTACGGCTATCTCAACACCGTGCAGGAGTTCTACTTTCACACGCGCGAGTGGCAGATCGTCAAGACCTACGGCTTCCCGGTCAAGGGCGGCTACGGTCACAGCGCCGCTTACGACGCCCATCAGGCTGCCGAGCCTGCGCTCATCTACGTGTACGGCGGCTACGTGTCCGAGTCACAGGCCACCCAGGTGCTGACCAATCGTTTGTACGCCTATCATCCGAATCAGCCGCGCACCTGGCGCATGCTTACGGCGGCGCCGTCGGCGCGCTTCTTCCACACGGCGGCCTTCGTCTCGGACTCGCTCGTGCTGGTGTTCGGCGGCAACACGCACAACGACACGCTGCACTCGTACGGCGCCAGGTGCTACTCCGCCGACGCCATAGCCTACGACGTGACCTGCGACACCTGGAAGCAGTACCAGATGCCGAGAACGCTGGTGGATCTGTCTAGGTATGGTCACAGCGCGACCATCTTTCCCCAGAGGGAGGATCATCGGGGCAGGGCCGAGAGGTCCATGTACATTTTCGGTGGCTTCGATGGCCAGATGCTCAACGATATGCTCAAGTAAGTCGATGATACTCGATTAATAAGTTGGTCGATCAACGAGTTACAAAATGTCACGTTTCATTTGCCCAGATACACTCCCGGCAGCTGCGACCAGATGCAGAACTACAGCCAGTGCCTGAACGCGCGCGTCGGCGTCAAGTGCGTCTGGGACAAGCGCCAGAGCGTCTGCCTCCCCATTTCGCGCGTGCCCGCCAACGTGCTGCGCACCGACGACCCGCACGACGGCAAGTACATGCGTTGCCTCGACGACGCTCTGCCCCGCGGCCTCACCACCCACAAGGAGCTCTGCAAGCTGCTGACCGACTGCGCCGCCTGCGTGCAGACCTCCTACGACTGCGTCTGGTGCGGCAAGAGCTGCGCCCACGAGATCTGCCGCAATGTGGCCAACGCGCCGGCCCAGCACGCGGTGCGCCACCTCGAGGAGTGCTCGCCCAACGGCGGCGTTGAGTGCTACCAGCTGCACACGTGCCAGTCGTGCTCGGCCAATCTCAACTGCATCTGGTCCTGGTCGAACGGGCCCGATCGTTGCAAGCCGCTCTCGGACATAGCCATCAGCGCGCCCATCATGCCCTCGTCGTCGTCGTCGTCGTCAAGCGGCAATCTGAGCAGCAGCATCAGCAGCAGCCTGAGCAGCAGCAGCCCTGGTGGCGGTGGCAGTAGCAGCAGCAGCAGCAGCATCGTGCCGCAACCGCAGGCCCGCTCGGTGCCCGGCGACATCTGCCGCAGCCCCTGCGTCGACTACACGTCCTGCCGCAACTGCACCGAGACCGAGTGCATCTGGTGCCAGAACGAGGAGCGCTGCGTCGACAAGAACGCCTACCCGGCGAGCTTTCCCTACGGCCAGTGCCGCGAGTGGACCACCCTGCACGAGAAGTGCCGCGGCAGTAGTAAGTCGTCCACGTCGTCGTCGGCGGACGGCTGCGGCTCGCACAACTCGTGCGCGAGCTGTCGCGAGGCCGTGGAGTGCGGCTGGTGCGACGACGGCTCGGGCACGGGTCGGGGCAAGTGTCTGCCCGGGGGCGACGCTCGGCCCAGCGCCAAGAGCCTGGAGACCTGCCCCGCCGAGAATTGGTACTTTACGTCTTGTCCTCGTGAGTCACTTTATTGCATTTAAGACCAAAGCTTCGAGATTAGATTATGCTTAATGTTTTTTCTTTCAAATTCAGTATGTCAATGCAACGGTCACAGTATCTGCGAACCAGGTACGAGCAAGTGTATGGAATGTTTAGATTTAACTCAAGGACCTCATTGCGAAAAATGCAGGCCTGGCTATTACGGAAGTCCTCTGAACGGTGCTTCTTGTCAACGTAAGTTTTAATAATCACTTTCAAAGGGAAAAATAATAAATAAACGGAATTTAAATTGCGCCCGTTCGTTTGCAGCTTGTTCGTGCAACGATCAAGGTACGAACTGTACCAGTGAAACTGGTAAGTGTTTCTGTACAACGAAAGGCATAATTGGCGATCACTGCGAGAGATGCGACGTGAGCGGTCTCTACCACGGCGACCCGACGAACAGAGGATCTTGTTTCTGTAAGTCTCGGATATCGATAATAGTTACGAGGCCGATATTATAATAATCGTTCACTCTTCGCAGACGACTTGGCGATCGACTATCAATTCACGTTCAATCTGAGCAAGAAGGAGGACCGTCACTATCGAGCGATAAACTTCAAGAACTCGCCGCCAAAGCCCGACGTGGACGCGGACTTCTCCATCACGTGCTCCGTCATCGCCAAGATGAACATAACGATCAAGCGGGCCAACAGCATGGAGAAGCCCCTGCTGCTACAGGCCAACTGCACGAATCTGACCTACAAGCATCGCTTCAGCAAGGCCGACTACAACTTCGGCAACGAGGACAACAACACCCTCACGACGTTCTACGTGTACGTCTACGACTTCCAGCCACCCTTGTGGATTCAGATATCGTTCTCGCAGTATTCCAAGCTGAATCTACAGCAATTTTTCATAACTTTTTCTACGTGAGTTTTTCAATGATTCGATCGATTGCGAATTAAGATGAAGAGAGGCTGTCTAACTGAAATTTCGTCGACAGGTGCTTCCTAGCTTTGTTACTTGTTGCGGCTGTTTTGTGGAAGATCAAGCAGAAATACGACATGTACAGAAGACGGCAACGTTTGTTCGTCGAGATGCAGCAGATGGCCAATCGAGCCTTCAGTCAGGTTCTCGTCGAGATCGAGAGGCGAGACACTCTCGTGGCTGAGAACGAGGGCAACAACGAAGTCGAAGTGTCGAACAACACGCGCTCGAAGAAGAAGAAGAAAAAGGTTTTTTTTATAACTGATCGATTTTTTTCAATCTCGCACACCCCTTGAAATCGAAAGGACAATTTTTTTTACAATTCGTTTCTTCTCCTTCGCTTCGCAGGACGCACCGAGCCCGATAGCGCTGGAGCCGTGTTGCGGCAACAGAGCCGCGGTGCTCTCCCTACTAGTCAGACTGCCGACCGGCAGCGAGTCTTACACGCCTCCGGGCCAGAGCGCGGGTCTGGCGGTGGCGTCGGCGCTGGTGACTCTGGGCACTCCGCGCAGACCCTCGCAGGAGATCACCATCAAGGAGCCGAAGAAGTCGCGCAAATCGGGCAGCCAGCATCCGGAGTCGACCTGCATCTAGCATCAGCCGCGCATCGTCGTCGCTTCCTTCGTCTCGTCGTCTTGTAGGGCCTTTTTGTTGTGAATGAATAGAGAGAGAGAGAGAGAGAGAGAGAGGGGGAAAAAAATCATCGAATGTATTATTATCCCTCGTTGCTATCCAGGGCTGATTATGTTTTTCGCTAATTTTTGGTCACGACCGAATACTTCGTCGCGTCAATGGTTTCTTTTCTTTTCGAGTGAAGAGTCTTTATTTGTTTTGTTCGTCATTCCTTAAGTACTTATTACATAGTTCATCCGTACAACAAAGACTGAGTAACGTTTAGGTAGTCTCTTATATACTTTTTTTTTTCGTTATACATTGTTCATCGCATAAAATGCTGTTCTTTTTACTTTATACAATGTGCTGAGATATATGGTTGACACGGTTTTACAAAACTAGTTCGATACGGGGTCAAGTGATCGATGCAACGAGGGATTGTACAGTTTTGTATATAATATTATGATTACGCGAATACGTTGTTTTTTTTGTCAACGTAAGATGAGGATAAATCTTTTTTTTTTCACGTTTCCATTTCAATTTTATTCCGTGTGCAGGATTTTTTATTCTGTTAATATGGAATCAAATTAGTATTATTGGGAATTCAGGGTGAGAATATAATGAAGGCATGATATTTCGATACTTTTTGAATATATAGCATTAATTAAAGTCAAGACTTCGACTATCACGGCGCGATATATAAGCATAATTAATAAGTGGAGATGGAAATTTTTTGATTATAAAACAAATGGCGAAAGCTTTTCTATAGTTGTACAAAAATTTGAAAAAAGGTATTTGAGTGTAAAATTTTTTTGAAAAAGAGCAATTATTGAATACACATTATTTATATACAGTTTGTATTTACAGGTGATAGACTTTTTTGGTTTTGTAACAGCATTTCGATCAAGTCTTAAGAGATTTTTGACACTGCTCTGTTACATAGTTTTACGTCTCGAATCGATAATGCAAGATTATGATTCAATGAGAGTAACGTCGATGCGAGTTTATTTACGAGTTGATCAGTTAATTATTTTTCGTTTTCTTACAGATTATGCATGTAAAACTATGAGAATTTTTTACTGTTAAAATTTGTATTGTTCAGTCCATACAAAATTTTCTTTTGATCTTTTTGTCAAAGTGTATTCAGGTTCATCTAGTCTATAATAAATCAATCATATAACGAGTAGCAATGGATGTGTATCAGAGAATGAGCGTAGCAAAAATTTATTGTGAAAAATGCAATTTGCCATTAAGATTTGCAGTAACGCATATTTTATAAATGGCAGTATTTTATTACTAATTTCTATTAATATTTGTTTGATAATAATTTAATACTCGTACTCGTACATCGAACAAATAGTTATAATTTTCTTTTATACCCAGTAGTATATAAGCAACATCAAGAGTAAGATCTGCATTTTTATTTGATAAAAATGATGAATATCTGTATGATGAAAAATCAAAGGTAGTTGTTTTTATAAAACTTCTTATTGAATGTGATGGTATCATATTTTATTTCTTCTTACGTAAAATTTAATCAATCTTTATGTTCATGATGGGATTTTATTGAGTGATGCAAAGGAACATATTAAAGATATCAGAGTGAACTCATCACATTTTGCACTCATTGCAATTATCCATTTCAGAACCTTTGAATATGATTCATTGTTGTTATTGCGTAGGAAACTTTACTTTTCTCAAAACTATAATACGACATGTATTCCAAGACTGGCAAATGGCATTTTGATGTAATAAAGACGGGAGTATGTAATGGTGTACTGTTTTAAAAACGCAACTTTGTAAATGATAAAAAAATCGAGAAAAGACTCAGCTGTATTTTTACGCTAATAAAGTAATAGGACTGCAAGTTTGATTATAAATAGTTGCATTCAACTAAAATCATTGTATTATAATGAAATGAAAGCAAATTATTGTTTAAATAAAATTGATATATATGTAAATAAAAAACGTGTTTCACTGGAAATTTCACATGAAATTAATGAACTCACTATTAACTATGTTTCTCATATTTTTCTCTTTTCCTCGATCAAATGAAAACACTATCACTGATTTTGAAAAATAATAATAATCCAACTATGCAAAAATTCAGTTTCAAAAAACATTTTTTATGATATTGAAATCTATCGTTTATTAATAACTACAATTGTGTGCATATTCTTACATAAAAGCATTAATATTACAAGTTATCAAATATCTTCCACTTCGTGACTTGCTTATTAATAGTTTCTCTACTTTTATAAATTCTTTTAATTTAATTACCATTAAATATTTACATTACCACCCTTGTCCTTATGCTAAGAATAACATTATACAAAGAAAATTTTTTTAAAGCTGAATTCAATGTTCCAGCAATTGTACAAATTGTTATATTCTCAAAATTTCATCCCACCATATTTTGATGAACTTTTTTTATAAAGATGGTCAACTCTATAAGCATATAATGCCAAGACAATTCAAGAAATTAACTTACTCACGCCATAATGTGTGAGTAGGTCAACAAACAATCACTTAATGGTCGATTTTAAACGGCTGCGCTTTGAAAAGAGTTTCTACAAAGATATTACAGAGACATAACAAATTTATGAATATTTTCTTATAATCAAAAATGACTTTCTCAAAATGAGACTCCATAATGGAATCAGACTTATTAAACATATTCTTGTGTAACAGTTTGTAATAATTTTTTTCATCAAAATTCAAAAATAGGAACTTTATGTCCTAGAATTGGTCATCTACCCAGTTTTATATCACTTGCTATTCTCAATATTTGTGTTTCAAAAGTTCTTGTATTTGTACAGTCTTGAAAATGCACGTGCCCCTTTTATTACAGTTACATTTCAAAGTAAAGAATAAACATATTCTGTTGCTTTTATTCAAAACTTATTATTGTTACAAAATTTGTAACAAACTATAAATAAAAAGAAAACATTTGAATTATAAAATTACAAAACTTTAATTTGATTTTGTAACATTTGGGTCCTCTTCTATCTGATATCGATTCCAACACAAAGAGACCGGTTGACATTGATTATCAACTTCCACAGTTTCGCCATCAACTTTTTCAACAGTTCTTTCAGTTTGTACAACTAATACCTCTTGACTGGCTATATTTAAATCAACTTGATGACACCCTAAATCATCTTCTTTTAATGCAATTAATTCATATGAAGTAGTTCCATCTTTTTCTTCTGTCATAGTTATCCTATTCAGTTCTTCTTCTGTTACAGTTCTGGTTGTGTCAGTAATTTGATGATCATCATGTAAATGTGTTAAAAGTAAAGACATGGTGTGATATATTTTACAACAAAGTTCGCACTGAAAAGATGTGCCATCATCAGATTCCAGACAATGTGAATATTCTTTATGCATATGATAAACTTTTTTATGAAGTTGCATGTGCTTGTCATGATCTACTGATAAAATGAACTCATATGTACAGATATTACAGTACAAATAATGTTTTTCATAGCGTGTGTGAGACCTAAGACGATGAACACTGTCACAGACTTTACCACACACTGGGCATTTTAAACAAACGTGATTTGTAAGAGCTTCAGGGGTATCAAAAATCCCATAACAATCTTTACACTGAGAGGTCTTTTTGGTACAGCAATAATGTTTAAACCAATGCCTCTGTAATTGATGATTCAAATCGAAACCAAGTTTACAGGTCAGACATAAATATCTTCCCCATTTGTCTCTTTTGGACTGGAAAAACATTGACTGTTCTGCAAATTCCAAATGTTTCTTGAAACTATTTTTTCTTGTCAAATTAACATTACAAACTTCACACTGATCTTGATGAGCTGGCATGTGCTTAAATACTAGATTTGGATTTTCATTACTGAATTGACAATAGTTACAAATGTACAATTCATTTTCTTTAGTTAAATGACATGATACATGTTTTTCAAACAATGTAGATTTGAAAAACATTGCTGTACAAGCAGGGCATTTAACAAATGGTTTTCCGCACTCTGTATATAAAAGAGAGAGCGATTCAAACTTTTTGATCCAGTTACCCAAATCCTTTTGTTCTGGGTTATCTGTTTCCAATGTATTATAGTCTTCGAACAAATTTACAACTGGCACCGGTTCATTTTGAACTGGATATTCTTGAGGTTTATCCATTTTTGCTACAGTTTCTTGAACTGGTTGCTCTATTGTGACAGTTGGCATGGTCTCTATCGTGGTGGTAGTCGTTTGCATAGTCTGCGCTGGTTGCGTATCAACTTTTTGCAAGAGTAGCATTTTTTTCTGTGGCTTCTGCGTTTTGTTACTGATCTCTTGTTGCTGTGTCTGTACAGTTGTGAACTCCTCTGCGTTGATCAATTGGCCCGACAGTGTCTGGCCATCGTCGCCCACCAGCGTTATTATAACGTACTTCTGCCCGTTGGTCGCCGCATCCAGCCCAGGTATACTGAATACTGTTTGACAGTCTTGCTCCGTCAGAGTCCCTGCTTCGAAGGTGACTTCTGCGGAATTGAGCTCTGTGACCTGACCGTGCACGGGCAGAATATCGGCTATCTGTATTTCCTCCTTCATGATATGATTCACATTCACATTGTCCTTCATTTCCACCTCTTTGTTCTCCAAGACCATGATGTTGCTGCGCTTATTGTTGACATTCTTATTGTCATTTTTGCTGGGGCGTTTTTTCCCTTTGGCTGGCTTCTTGTTCGCGTTGGCTGCGCCTTTTGGCACCCTTCGGCCCTCCTCCGTCAAAGTCAGCATCTTGCTGCGGATTAAATTTCTTCTATTTCTCGTCTATTCGAAACTCGCTGCGACTCTCTCGCTTTTGCTCGCGTCGACGATCGCCGAGTATCAAGGCGCTCAACTGTCAAAATTAATAACGATGTCGTAAGTGTACGGTGCTAATCAACAAAGACGAGCCAAAAAAAGCAACGAATGAAACAAAATCATAGGACACTTACCTAACTGGTCGCTTCTAGTCGCAATGCACGAACGTCATTATGATCATCGTCGTCGTCGTCGTCGTCGTCGTCATCGGGCACTTATAACCTTATATACGAGAGCTGAGCTGCGTTGAATCGCGTTCAGCCGTGTACAAACTGGTCGTCGTCTGCGCCGAGGGAAATCCAAAATAAAGAGAGAGACGGCGGGCCACACCATAAGAAACAAGAAAAAATTCAAGCGTCATTTATGCATTTCGTGTAAATGGATTTATAATATGCACATTTAATACACACGCACACACACTTTGTTTGTCCATCTATACGTCTCTCTGTACGAGTGATGTATATTTATATATGCGTATATAGAATACACATTACACACACAAACAATTAGATATGGACGCCGCTCGACTGTGTGTACTGTGTAGGTATATAAAATTGCCAACTTACCGCTCACATGCAACAGAGCGATCCGCTCAGCCAGTTCCGTGTACTATACTTTTCTCTCTCTCTCTCTCTCTCTCTTTCTCTCTATATATATATTGAATATATAAGCAAACACACGCGCGGCACACCGTGTGCCTATATAATAATAACAGCAGGAGCAGCACCACAGCGACTACTACAATGCGTCGATGCCCATACACACACACAAACACACACCGTACGTGTATGTACTTCCTCGAAGAGAGAGATTTCGCTAGAAGAACAGATGTTTTTTACGAGCTCACCCAAACACACACACATCCACACATATATGTGTCGGGGCAAACGTGTCTATATGCGATTATCACAAAAGATTTGCTCGAAAAATGACCGCTAATGCGTCGTCTCTTTTACAGTGTATACATGTAACTGCAATAGATATAGGTATGTTATCTTCGTCCTGCCTCTGCTGCTGGGCTGTGTGTGCTTGTTATGCAGTTTATGTGTACTGCGGGCGACTCTCGGGATTTACCACATATACATATAAATATAACCAATATACGCGTGCAGGTGACAGACAGCGACTAGCTGCGATGCATCGAATTATTATTGCTCGGCGAGTGGCGCGTCTATGTTGTATTATGCGCCGATAGATCGTGTGTATACACGCAATAATGAAGTGGATTATATAGGCGCACACGTTTTATTTAAGAAAAACATCGTATATAGTAATTGGCGATCGTATGCGCGCCGCGACGCTCGCGGATAAGGTAAAGATTCGCGATATCGACGGTAGCTGCACGCGAGATATAATTTTCGAGGCGACGCGCTCAGCGCTTCGAGCAGCGATTGATGTTTGAATTTATTAATATTCGTGCATTGACAGGTCTAATGATTCTCGAATAAAATATAAATTATTTATATGATGAAATTCAATTGATTGAATGAAAAAGACGGATTATTTCATCAGTTTTTTTTTCTAAACCATTAGCAGCACTCGTAGCTTTCTCAGAAAGCCTTTGCGCGTATCTTTTTTTGATACGATACGTCCTTAGATAATTCGAATTAATCGTTGAGAAAATCTTACGGTATCGTGTTGTGTATTGCGTTATAGAAATGTTTGAGCACAGAATAATACTGAAGCGTGACAAAGTTTTGAAAAAAGGGATAATTTTATAAGTGATGCCAATTTCTACTAAAAAAACATTTTTGATTTTTCATCTTAAAAGAAATGACTGTCGGCAAAAGATGCCAAGAACAAAAAGATCCTATAATCAAAAACTTATGTAAGAAAAACATTAAGTTAGGGCCTCTAAAAATGATTTGATTTTTATTAATTATTTGAACATCTGGAAAAAAGTATAGGTATTCTTCGATTGATTTCAAGACTCTTTTGTTCTTGGAGTTTTTTCCTGAAGTCGTTTGAGTTCCTTCAGAATAATATCAACAATTGTTCAATAAGAAAGAAAAATCACGAACTTTATTGATAAAATTCCTGTGGAAAGGTCTATTTATAGGTTTCAACTAGAATCAAATCAAAAGAAAAATATACTTTCGGTAATAATTCAGATCACGTTTTTTTTTGGTCACTTTTATCGAATTGCAAAAAAATGTTAGTCCTTTCTTTCCATAAACTAATAAATAAAAACATGTGTGTGCTAACATTTTTAATCAAGTAGCATTGAAAATCTAATTAATTTTGGCCACGGGGCTACTTCTAGTTTCTGGACTAATTATTAATTTACATTTTTATATTTAGAATTTATCTGACATACATTTGAAAATGTCTGTTAAACTAAACTGTTTATGATGGACGCTCAACATGCAAAGTAGATATAATGAAAATCTGCAGGAATAGGAAAGCGTTGAAAGCAATCAGCGCCTTAAATCATTTGAGAGCTCGAGAGTTCATTTTTTATTGTTGTTTATTTATTTTTTTACAAATAAAAAGGTAATGGAACGAAAAGAGAAGCCGCCTAAAATGACTTCTGAGTGGGCGAATTATTGTTGCCGAAATGAATAAAAATATTGCTATTTACTTCAGGTGTAATGAGAATTTGTAAATTAGTCCTCTTAACAAGTATATTGTCTCAAGTTTTAGTACGTGATTGTTGCACCTGATTGGCGTTGATCTTGAGATTACTCTTCCTCTTCTTTCTGCAAATATTGCATGCATACTTAATGTCATAATGTATCGCCTTGTGTGTGTTTTTCCGCATAAATCAAATTCTATTGTGACTCCATTGTGCATCCTATCTATATGGATTTTCAAATGACTTTTTGCGAATGTCTTATCGCATACATCACAAATATGTTTTAAATTTTACTATGAACCTTGTCAATGTGTGCTTTCAGATTACTCTTCCATGTGAATGACTTTCCACGCGTTTTACACGCTTGTTAGATTTTTCTATGAACCGCGACAATGTGTTTGTTTAGACTACACTTGTGTGTGAAAGTCTCTACACAAATATCACATTCATAAGTAATACCATTATGTATCATCTTGATGTGTTTTTGTAGATTACTCTTACTTGCGAATGTTTTTCCACATGTGACGCATGCGTGGGTCATATCTTTATGTTTCGTAACGATGTGGGTTTTTAGAGTACTTTGAAGGGTAAATGACTTTCCACAAGTATCACATGCATGTCGGATTTGCTTGTGCACCGAATTGATGTGCTTCTTGAGATTACTTTTGTCTGAGAATGTCTTTTGGCATATATCACATGCATGAACACTGTTGTGCATTGAATCGATGTGTTTTTTGAGCCTACCATTCTCTGAGAACTTCTTTCCTGAAAATTTCTTTCCGCATATATCACATACACATGTGACCCGATTGTGCACCAATTCGCTGTGGGTTTTGAGATAACATTTTTGTGTGAATGACTTTCCACATTGCATGCATGCATGCTTGACTTTATTGTGCACTGAATCAATGTGGATTTTGAGACTACTCTTTTCAGAGTATATCTTTCCGCAAATATCACATGCGTGTCTAACAACATTGTGCGCCTTACCGATATGGATTTTGACATGACTCTTTTGTGAAAATTTCTTGCCACATACATCACAAGTATGGGTGACACCCTTATGTGCCACGTCAATGTGTGTCTTGACATTACTCTTACTTGAGAATGTCTTTCCGCATATATCACAAGTAGGTGGGGTATCACTATGCGCCGAATCGACGTGGTTTTTGAGATGACCCTTTGTTGAGAATTTTTTTCCGCATATAACACAAGCATGAGTAATACCATTGTGCACTGAATCAATGTGGGCTTTGAGACTACTCTTTTCAGAATATTTCTTTCCGCAACTATCACATGCGTGTCTAATACCATTGTGCACGATATTGATATGGATTTTGACATGACTCTTTCGTGAAAATTTTTTGCCACATACATCACAAATATGGATGACACCCTTGTGTATGTGATTCTTGAGATTACTCTTACTTAAGAATGTTTTTCCACATATATCACAAGTAGGTGGGGCATCACTATGAGCCGAATCGATATGTTTTTTGAGAGTACTCTTGTCTGAGTATGTCTTTCCGCATATAACACAAGCATGAGTAATACCATTATGTACAAAGTCGATGTGCTTTTTGAGAGTATACTTGTATGAAAATTTCTTGCCACATTTAACACATGCATGCGTAATTTTATGATGTACCGAATCGATGTGGGTTTTGAGGTTACGATCTTTGTTGAGTTTTTTTGTAACTCTTTGTTTTTCTATCTGTTCGACAAGCATAGGGTCGAATATCAAATTCGATTTCTCTTCAGTGTCACCCACAATTTCTTGTTTTACTGACACCAAAGGTTCTATTTTAATTATGTTTTTAGTTTTATAATCATCGCTGCACTTCATACTCTGCAAGTGATTTTCGGAATCATCGTCAACTTTTTCAACTTTTAACGAATTAATGTTGGGCTTGACGTCTTCACATTCAACGATAATTTTTACTTCGTCATCAAATTCACTGTCATGATTTTTATCAAAATTACGAAGGTTATCGGTCTGTTGAAAAACGAAATATGGGTTATAAATATAATACAAGTGAAGTACGAATTATACATACAATTATCACCACTTACCGAATTTTCTGGCAGATGTGGTAAGAGTTGGAAGCTCTCGAGATCGGGTTTCTCGTCAATCTTTTCCCAATCATTTTCATTCGGCAAAACATTGCTAGGTTCCTCTTTCACGCTGCAATAAAATCATATATTTTGTCACGATGTTTTTTGTAATTTCATTCTCGTCAAATCGAAATTACCTGCTGGTACAGTTAAATAGACATCTGCGGGGCATCTTTCTCGTGTGGAATTTCACTAGAAATTAACCTCTCTGTGTGATGATCTAGGGAACTGCACGGGATAACTAACGAATTGTATAGCAATTTGCTCAAACTATTGTTTACATCGAGCATTCCACGACACCTTTAGTTCGTGTGTTGACCGGTACGCGGCATTGCAGGTTAATTCACGCTACTTATAGCAGCTGTCTGCGTGAACCGAGTAAAATTAAGTCTTTACACTACGAGCTCACACTATATAATAATTATATACTAATCATGTACCAATGATATATTATCACTCGAACTTTATGCGTTGGCCGAGACCCGCTGCATTGCGAGAGCGACTCTTGTGCCCTGCGTGGCCACCTAGTGGTCAAGACGGAAAGCGCGAGATGATCGGACGAAAGACAAGTACAGAGCAAGTCTTTAAAATTCATATCGAGTACATTCTTTGAATCAGCGATCTTTTTATTAAAAAAAAAAAAAGTGTATCAATGGAGCACGCACGCGATCGTTATCGACACGTGCATCTTAAAAAAAAAACGACGATCGTCGGAAAAGTATACGAAAGCGCGTGTGCCGACCCGATCGGTGTGGATCGGTAAATACTGTGCGCGTGTGCCACAGGGGGGTAATTCCTTACGCTCGAACGGGTACGTATTATAATATATAGGCCCGCGTCGTCAAAGTTAATTTAGCGTGATGTCGCTGTTGATTTAACAATTATGCCTCATTATGCGTACACACAATGTAATATAAAGCGCGGCGATCGATCGAATGGATCCTCGAGCCATCGCTGTGTATCGAGTCGCGACGAATATACTTTTTAATATTCGCGCATTGAGCAACGATCGGCCGCAGGATCGATTTTTCTTTTTCGCTACGATATACGTATATTATAGCCGCTTCTGTTGTTTTGCGCAATTCGCGCGCGTACACCGCGAGTCGTGCCCAGGCGCTTACTCACTCGAATGTAAATTATATAAATGCGCGCGCGCGCGAAGTTAAATTAGCCGGAAAAACTGGTCGGTGCAGCGGCGCGACTCATTTTTCCAGACTACTACAGGCCAGTTCGATCGCGCGCGCCGACACACCTCCGGATTTCGCGCCAGATCCCAAGGACAATAATATCGGTAAAAATTATGTTTGCTCGACGTGTCTCTCGGTTAAAAATATACATGCATACCGATAACGAGACTGCGCGACCCTTTCGCGATCGAAATCGTACGATCATTGGCACGACACCTACTCCAAGCGTGCATAATTATTATTCACTCGATACGAGATCGGTAAGAGATCGGCGCGACTCTTTGATTCTCTGCGTGCGTATAAACAAACGGTGTGTGTGCGTGCGCGCACGAGCTTCCACGTGTCTCGAATATAACGATATCATCACGGCTCTATAAATGCCGCGCGCTTTTACGACTTCGTATATCGTATACACATAGAGTACAATATAATTCTTATAATTATAATCAATTTTTACACTCTAAATAGTTTTTAATAGCCGTAGACGAATTGTTGTAAACGTAATTCGCGCCCGCCGACCGATTTATATTATAATAACGTTACGATTTTTTCATCATTCTTTCTTCTTACAAATCGGGTCTTTATCGTACGCTGCTCTCTCTCTATCTCTGAGCCAAAAAAATGCGTAGCTTGTTTATAGTGTCATTAAAAGCATGGTCGACTCGCATGATCCTTTATCACGCGCGCAACGGTGTCACACGACGAAATCGAGCTTCTTATTTTTTTGTTGCTTCGATAACAAAAAAAAATAACGAAAAATATAAATGGTAATGTCAATGTTTACTTGTGTCAGTTTTTTTTTATAACGAACGATTACTTAACACACAGAGCAGTACTATATGCATGAGACTTCGTATAAAGAAACACGATTCCGCGGCGGCGTCGGCGGTTGGCTTATAATTGATCCGCCTCAGAGAATCCTCGAAATGCCATGAGGAAAAGGCCAGAAAAAAGAATCCTCATATAACGGAGCAAAAAGGTACATTTGACGGTTCGCAGCCTCGGGGGCCCCCTTCTTCTTTGCTCTCTGTCTCTCTCTCACTTTGGGGCAGGTATAACATAATAGGATATACACCGGCAAAAATTCAGTCCGTACATTTTCTTCCCCTCTTCCAATATCCGATGAGTTTCTGAGAAAAAAAAAAGGTTCTGCCGAGGAATCTCGCTGCTGCGCGCGTGACGCAAGAATACAACGCGCGGAAAGAACGAAGAATCGTCGAGGCCCCCGAAAAAAAAAAAAGAAAGAACCTCATCTCTAAACGCGATCGCGCATACCCCAGGTTGTTGTATCTCACAAGTACATCTGAGCCCCTGGCGATCGCGATATAATTTTTTTCTCGACGGACGGACTTGCATGCGCTTACTATATACGTATAAGCGCCGCGTGCTCTTCAGCTCGTATACACACATGTATACATAACAACGGCGTGCGTGTCTGATGCAATGCTCGAAAAATTTTCGAATCGCATCGCATCGCATCGCGCACGGGTCGAGTGTATTTATAATTACACACCTAGACGAGAGAGCCGCCGATTTTTATATATGTTCTTAATTGGAGACGCGCGCGCGAGCTGATAAAAAAGAATTAGTAATGGAGAGAGGCCTCGCGGTATGCAGGCATATATTGTACGAGTCACAAGTGCTTGAAAATCTGAGAAGTGATAATTAACTTTATATTTATATACAGTTACGATATCGAGATTACCGAGCGAGCCTATGTCAATAATGTGTATATACTCGACCCGCCGCCGCCGCCTGACTGACTATTCACCTTTCAGCTCTTAATGAGGCGTATTAAAAAAAAATATATATGTAATATAATACAAAGAGCCATCGCTTATCATCAGACATTTATTTGTATTAATTGTAATACAACAAAAGAGAGAAAACGGCAGAAATCGACGAGAGATGGCAATTACGTTACGATCGCGAGTAATCGCGAAATTACGAATCTGCGCGCCAATATCGTTTAAGTAGTAAATAACTCGCGCGTTTACGTCTCGACGAAATATAATAATATTATTGACTCGTTTTATAAATACGACATACGTATACGAGGCATTAAATGTGGAACTCTATATGGTTGAAAATTTCGAACTGCGTTCGACAACCTTGCGTTTCCGGGATCGGCTTTTGTATCATGGGATTATTATGGTTTTCTTCAAAATGTGTATATTATGTATTAATAGCTGCGCGCGCTCACGTGGGCACTATACTCACGAATACAAGTCCGAAAGTGTCATCATTTTTCATAGATATACAGAGACGATATAAACACTCAAAAATAAAATAATAATAACAGAGTAAGGGAAGAAAGGGGGGAAGTCTATACCATTGTAATGTACGGTTATATAGTACGGCGGTGCGGCGCGCGCGCAAACAGGAGTACTACCGTACGTATATATATATATAGCATCCGACAGCTCGATATACATACATATATATAGCAAAGTTTGTGCGTCCGTGTTGTATATAGGAGAGAGAGGCAGCAGCAGTTCTCTCTCTCGCGACGACGACGACGCGCACCACACACACCGTCTTTTACGCGGCTGATACACTCATTCAGTACACGACCGAGCAGCGAGCCGGCAGCTCGCTCATATACAGCTTGTAAGCAAAGCTCGTGCGCGAACTCCAAGCTCCTTTTTCCTGTATACTCCTATCTCCTACTTCTTCTTCTTCTTTTTTTTTCCCCCTCGTCGTCGTCTCTCTATCTCGTATTTACTTTTTTTTGAATAAAATATATATATATATATATATTTTGGCCACGAGTTGACCCGGGCACAGAGAGAGAAATAGAGTCAGTCGGGTTTCGAGATCGAACGGAAGAGCACACGAGTCTCAAGAGCCATAAGAGCAGCAGCAGCAGCAGCAGACACAAGCAGCAGTCATGTGGCGGTGGTGCTGATATTACACAGCGCAGGACCAAGACAGGATATTCGCCCCCTGATGCGTGATTTTTTTTTTTGCGGGATATAGTGCGAGTGGAATTTTTTTTTTTGTACCTGGATATTCCATCGCCGTGAAGATTTTCCACGCGAAGGTAAGCGAGAAAAGTGCTTTCAATTTATTTATTATTATTTTCTTTTCTTTTTTATTACTAATACGTGATAAAAGTGTCAAAGTGCGCTCGTCCTGTTACTTCATACTCTCCTACTCTGTGGTGTGTGTGTGTGTGGCATCGACAGAAATTAAAAATTAAATCGCCGTGTACGCATTTTTTTTTCTCCGCGTGCGTTTATTGCGCACACACAACTGAGCGAGGCTCGCAAACTGCAACAATGCAAAACATCCTCGAGGTGCAGTATACGTGCGTGCGTGGGTGGTTATTATACCAAAATATGTAATACGAAATACGATCGACGCGATTGACAAATTTTTTCGAACGGCAACGACGAATGTGTTTCGTGTGTCGGACACAGACACACACACACACTAACACACAGACGAGGAGATCTCGAAATTAATTTGCGGCTCGATCGACGATTATACACAAAAGTGATATCGATCGGGGGGTAGGGGCAAAAAGTGCACTCCGCAGCGCGAACTTTCGAGCGTACATAAGTGGTGCGCGGTGTGATCGACCTGCATGCATATAATACGTAACACCAGAACACCAATTACGACGATTACCTCCTCGCGCGTCCTACTAAAAATCTTCGTATATGTGTGTGCGATGGATACATAAATCCGCGCCGATGCATCCGTACAACACGTACGGCCGCGAAAAGCGATTATCGCACAAAATCCACGACGCGCGCGGGGGGAAAAGGTATCATCGAGTGACTTTTTCCTCGTCGTTCTTTTTTCTTTTCACTTAAAATCATCGTCGATTCGCTGTCGATGGGGTGTCTCGTATACATCCACGTGGGTGCATGTGCTACACAGACGCTTATACCAGGGGGTAGGAGAGCGAGAGAGAGATTTATTGATTTTTATGCTCGAGCCGTTGGCTACTGCTGCTGCTACTGGTGGTGGTGTGCTGGCTCGTGGTGGCAGTGGTGGTGCGCGCGCGCAACTGCGTAAGCAGTATCTATATAGAGGGGTTGTCGAGGATACGTGCGCACACACACATACGACGTTCGTACGATGCGTATAACCGAATTTTTTTTCTTCTTCTTCTTCTTTTTTTCGTCGTGTGTCGCCGCGATGCACGTGTACCGTAATAATGCTAATAATCGCGCGTGTAAGTCGTGTAACGCGGACACGATCGCCTTATCAGTTTTTATTACATATAATATATAATAAACACATTGACGTACGTATACGATTGTTATTTATGCATTATGAAATTAATGCCTCGACTTAACTTTTTTTTTGTGCGCTCGACCATGTAAACGCGATAATTCATACGTATATATAGGCAAAACAAACGAAAACGATCGGATTAGGCATACGCGAACGGGCATGAGGGTCGATCGTACATGTGTATCGGTATATATAAAATAGCCCACAGCTCGTGTGTGGTACATACGCATGTTTAATGTGCCTCTGAATGGGTTCTCTGCGACTCAAACTTTAAACTGCCACACAGACACAATGAGGCGCAATTACCTCGTCTTCTTCTTGGGGTCGTCGTGATATATACATGTGTATGCCTTTGCGCGCTGCTTTAAAGCTCAATTATAAATCGACTAGTTTACACACACACACACGTGAACACGAAGCACGAGATTCACTCGTGGTACACGCGTTTCGTAACATAGTAGTAGTATAGTAGTAAAGTAACGTAGCCGGCAAAAAAAAAAAAGAAAAAAAAAATTAATGACCGCGCGCGAAATTGAAACTTTTTGACACATCACGCGCCTATGTATGGTATATTTCGACTCACGGCGCGGGCGAGCGCTATAAAGCGAGCGATCGACTTCCGACGTATTATACGTATACACGTTTCGCAACGCCACGCGATATCTTTTCTGCTCTTTCCTCGACGCTTTTTTTTTATGGTATTTATTTTTCCTCTTTGAAATTCCGCTGAATCTTCGGATTTTTTTTTATTCCTCGTTCTCACGTGTGTGTACGCACATATAAATTTTTTCGCTGAACGTAACACTACTCCGTTGAAAGCAGCAGCAGCAGCAGCAGTAGCGAAAAAAAAAGTAAGCAAGTACACGAGCGCGCGGGTAAAGAGCTTAAAGTCACGCAGCCTGGGATAATATACACGAACGAAGCTCGCGGGTCATTAAAACTTAAAAAGTTCCGGTAGAAGTGAAATGAGGGATTCGACAATAACGGTGTAATGTATATAGGGTTAACGCGTCGCGAGTCGACTACCACTACCACGGCTATTATTTCTAATCAGCTTACATACGCTCGTACGTACATTCGCTGAAAATCCCTTGGTATATAAGTCGCGAAGAAAACGACCAATGATGTAACTCTCTTTTTGTACCATACGCTTTTTTTTTTATTAAACTTTTTTTCATCCGACTTCTTATCATCGTCTCTCTCTCTCGCCTCTCGTATAACTATGAATCGACGAGCTGCAAATAAATCTTGCCCGCGCCCGATTGTTTGACTTTCTTTTTCGCAATTGTACTTTTGTAACAACGATTCGCATTCAGCGCTTGGTAGCTATCGTAGGCTAAAGTATTAGCGCGCGACCCGAGATAAAAGTACGCCAGCTGAGAGCAGATATGTATTATTATTTGCAACGCGTGAGTTTATTAAAAGCGTCCCGATATCGAGTACAAAAGCCACTATTATAATGCTATATTTTACTCGATGTAGATATTCGACCAATGGGGAAAAATATATAAGTATGTAAATGAAATAAACGTTAACGAACGAGTTTTCGGCTTCTCGAAGGTGTGTGCGCTCGCGCGCGTCAATCGACGACTCGTTTTCATTATAAACGTTCGATTTCTTGGAGGCTCGTCGCCCCGCGGTAAACTGGTTGTTATTTACGTTGGTAAGTCCATGCGTATATTTGCATTCGCTGCAAATATGACTTTTAACGAATTATATAAAATCCCTCGGGTGAGCGTATCGATTTAAATTTTACAAAACGAGCGAGAGCAAGAGTATAAGAGCGTAAAAAAGAGCAACTGTCTGCGTTAATGTAATATGTATGTCTGTGTGTGCGTATATACGAGTGGGTGGGTGCGGGTGGATAGTTTTCATATACGTATACGTATAGCACATTTCAACTCCACTACACACACACACAGCTACCATCCACAGGCGCTATATAGTTTGCCGAGTAAATGGATAATACTCCTAAGTGGAGCACAGCTGCCTCTCTCTCTCTCTCTCTCCCTCTCGACGCTATAACTAACATTAATATTATAATGCCGTTTTGCACTCGCTCACTCTTAAGTAATTGATTTTTCTCACTCTATATTCTCTCGTCTTCTGTCCACCAGGAGTAAAAAAAGAGTAATCTCAACCAACAACAGCTGAACCGAAGAAACCAACGACGCGATGTCGAAAGTCGGTGACAACCTGCGCGGCAGCGTCAAGAGCCTCAAGAGCTTGAAGAGCAACAACGCGGCCAAAGACGAGGACGTCGAGGAGAATGGCAAATCCGTCGCGGCAGCCAACGACACCGGCGAGATCAAGCTCGAGGCCAAGATGACCCTGCTGAACGGCTGCACGGTGATCGTCGGCTCGATCATCGGCTCGGGCATCTTCGTCTCGCCCACCGGGGTCATCAAGAACACGGGCAGCGTCAATCTGGCCCTCGTCGTCTGGATCGCCTCGGGCGTATTCTCGATGATCGGCGCCTACTGCTACGCCGAGCTCGGCTGCATGATCAAGAAATCCGGGGCGGATTACGCCTACATCATGGAGACGTTCGGGCCGTTCATGGCGTTCATTAGACTGTGGATCGAGTGCATGATCGTGCGGCCCTGCAGTCAGGCCATCGTCGCGCTCACTTTTAGCACCTACGTGCTGAAGCCGCTGTTCCCCGAGTGCGATCCGCCCGTCTCGGCCAGCACGATGCTGGCTATCTGCTGCATTTGTGAGTTCGATGTATTTTTTTTTTACAGCACCGAAGCAAAAAAAATAATAAAACAGCTCCGATGAAATCCGATAATTATTGAGAGATGTTCTTACGGCTCGTCGTCTAATCGCGTATACGATGTTATGAAATCCGGTACATTATATATTACTCATACGTACGTATCGGACACGAGTGAGAATAAAAAAAAAAAAATATTCGCTTACCTCGGCGCTCGTTGCGAGTACACACAAGACACGCGTTAAACGTCTGCCTGTGCCAATCAAAATCGCGAGAGAGTTAAAACAACAATATAATCTCTTCCTTTTTTTCTTCTTCGCTCTCTTAAAGCGTAAATTTATACACGCGCGCACGAGGCAAGGAAACGCGATATATTTATCGTCGAACGATCCGTTAGCTCAGCTTTTCTTCCTATATAAAACGCGTGTGCTTTTCGAAAAGAAAAGCCTCGAGGATATAAATGATATCCCCGCGGCACAGTTTTTTCTCGTGTACGTCCTTGCGATAAATGCAGCGCGAGATCCGCGTTATCTCGTTGTTTCTTCGTTGTTATTATTTTTTTTCTTTTTACACCGTCTAAAAATACGACATAATCGTTAAAAATTTTATACATCTTTGTGCTTATAACTATGTGCTTTTTTTTACACACACACACACACAGGTCTGCTGGCCTTCGTCAACTGTTACAACGTGCAATGGGCGACCCGAGTCCAGGACATCTTCACCTACGCGAAACTTTTGGCCCTGTTCATCATCATCGGCGCCGGTGTCTATCAGCTCTGCAACCGTGAGTATACATTTCAACGTTAAAATAAAATAAAATATATACATCGAATATAATTCGCGCGAGCCTCGACGCTTCGCTCGGTTTTATAAAGCGCGTGTGTCTAAACGCTCGTAATATGCGTGTGTGCCTCGAGTTTTGTCGTCGTCGTCGTCGTCGTCGTAGCCACGCCGGACGCGACAATTTGTCCAATCAGAAAAGGTGCAGAGGTTCCGTCTTCAATTGGCTTCATTCGGAGAGAGAGAGGCGAGCTTTACTCGCGCGCGACCGGCTACACAGCTGCACTGCCTTTTTTCTTTTTTTCTACTCGATGTATTATATACGTTAAACTTTGGAATGAATGGGCTTTTTGGCACGCGCGCGTGTGTGAACTTATGAATGAGATTTTTGCACGGTCAAAAAAAAAAAAAGAAAAAAGCACGCGTATAATATCGAGCTTTTGTAACTGCAGACCAGACGCAGCACTTCACGTGGGAGAACACGACCACCGACGTGACGCAGATAGCGCTGAGCTTCTATTCGGGCCTGTTCGCTTACAACGGATGGAATTACCTCAACTTCATCATCGAGGAGATGAAAAATCCCGTCAGGTATGTGTCGACACGTACTTGTGTCTATATATAATTACACTGTAATTTTTTCCTCCATCATGAATAAATAAAACTAATACTTTTTTCTTCCAAACAGAGATCTGCCACGAGCCATCGGCATCTCGTGCATATTGGTGACGATCGTCTACGTGTTCACCAACGTCGCGTTCTACACGACTCTCAGCCCACAGGAGGTCATAAATAGCGAGGCGGTCGCCGTCGTACGTATAATAATACAATACATTGTATAATTTTCTTGTTTCGCAACTACATTCAAGCCCTTGTTTTTTTTTTTTTGTCATTCGACAGACTTTCGCCAATCGTCTGTTCGGCCCGATGGCCTGGATCATCCCGGTCTTCGTCTCGCTGTCCACGTTCGGCGCCGTGAACGGCATCCTGCTCACCTCGTCGCGCCTCTTCTACGCCGGCGCCTGCGAGAGACAGATGCCGGAAATTCTGACGATGATACAGACCTCGAAGAAGACGCCCACGCCCGCCGTCATTTGCATGGTAAAGATATAATAATAATGTAATAATACAAGGAAGGGCAGAGAGACCGAAAGCTCGCGCGGCATGCGCTGCGTGACAGCGGCAGAGAATTTCATATTAATACCAGTTTTTTTGCCGCCGCCGCTGCTGCGGAAAGTTTACATATTCAACGAAAAATTATAAAATTTTTCCATAATTTGCTGTGTGCAACCTGATCGGCTGATTGTGTGTGTGTATTTCCTGTTTCAGGCTTTACTGTCTATGGTGTACCTGCTAGCCCCCAATATCGAGGCACTCATTAACTACGTCGGATTTGCTTGCTGGGTGAGTCAATAAAACAGTGTTATTAAATATCGCACGCATCGTAATTTTACTTAATTGATATCAATACTCATCTCGCTTTTGTTCGCGTCTGCGTTTTCTTTTTTTTTTTTTTTTTCACANTTTTTTTTTTTTTTTTTTTTTTCACAGTTGAGCATCGGCGGATCGGTATTCTGCATTCCCTGGCTCAGATGGAAGCAGCCCAATCTGCCCAGACCGATCAAAGTGAACCTCATCTTCCCCGTGATCTACATCATCTGCACGATCTTCGTCGTCGTCGTGCCGATGATTCGCGAGCCGGTACAAACAGGTAATGTTAAAATTGTATTACGCAATACAAGATATGCTGCTATCGAGAATAGTAATTTTCGATACAAGTGCCATAAGTAACACTTTTTGGCACGGCGTAGTTTAGGGCCCGAGCGCAGCGAGGGTCCTAATAGCTGGGCCGAAAAGTGTCCCCTATGGCCCGAGTATCGAACAACATTTTATAGTACTGTGCAAAGTTCACATTTATGCCCCCTTTTCCGAGCCATGAGTCGCACTTTCTGGTAGCGCGAAGTGAGGTTAGCGCACGAGCGTATGCGAGTGTGATGCGAACGCAGCGGTGCCAGAATGTGCGACTTATGCCACCGAAAAGCGTGCCATAGATGTGAACTTATGCCACGCAGTGCTATAAAAACTATAATGTGACTCCTTTTTTTCTTTAGGAATCGGTTGCCTGATGATTCTCTCGGCTGTGCCGGTCTACTTCGTCTTCATCGCGTGGAAAAACAAGCCCAAATGCGTGCAAAACTTCTTCGGTGAGTACAGCGATACGCGCGGCGCACGCACAGATTCATACGGAGGAGTTTTCGTATTTTCTAGACGCAGCGCAGCGCAGATGTGCAGCATTTTTATCATTATTTTTGATACCTTTTTTTTTTGTTTTCAACAAAATGTAATAATACGATGAAATTTTTCCCGCACAGAATCGTTCACCCGTGTCTCGCAGAAACTCATGGTTGTCGTCGGACCCAAATCTCAGGTTGATTAGAACACACTTTACAACGATTATTATTTTATACATTTTTCTTTCTCTACTATCATAATTTGTGCACGTTATTTAACCTTCTAATTTCGCATCGTATTTTAAGTTTTATACCATAAATTTTTTCGCCTCATCGATTCGACTTATGGTCCATCGTAACATAGCTCGTTTTACTTTTTTGCAATTTAAATAACATCCCATTATTAGCAATTTTTTTTTGGTTCGCATGCGTTGCATTTAAATGAACAAGTAGAAATTGCACACTCGCAAGTATACAGCAAGTTTTTTATTACACAACAGACACACACACAGAGTCCCTTTTTGTTTGGATTTACAGGTAGCGTGTGCGGAGATTATGTGCCAATAGATCGATAATTATCATCACAGTAATTTAGCCTATCGATATAGATATGTTATGAATAGACAGAACGCCGCGAGTATACTAATTGAATGTTATTTTTTTTCACTTTCAAAATAGATAGATATATTATATATACATAAGTAATCGTGAGGCTAGAAAAGATTTATTCTATATATTAGATCGTTTGTTTACTAACTCATTTTAATTGACTCTTGAGATTGTGTATTATAACCATTACGTACTTACATAGATATTCACGGCAAAAATTTGCCTCGATCTCGAACCGATGATAACCGCTTGTTTTTTTTTCCTCTTTCTGTTTCTCTTTAACAGTAAGCTGTACGAGATTTCTGCAGAAGATAATGATGGTGGTGGGCGCCGCCAGCAAGCCCGCGCAACTTTAAAGAAAAGAAGACAGAGAGAAACAAACAAAACATACAAAAGAAGAAGTGAGAGAGAGAGAGAGCCTATTATCGATTTCAAAAAAGTTATGATACAAAACAACGATCGACGCGAAAGCTTTTGACAAGCTTTTATTTTTTTGGATGAAGAGGAGGAGAATAAATAATAAATGCAGCCAAGTCGCCCGACGGTTTTCCCGCGTGTATATGGCAGCCATCGGTATATATATACGAGAACGACGGACGACTGCGTTTTAATAGGCATATCTTTCGATTAGTTGCAATTAAAAGAAGAAGATTAATAATAATAATAATAATAAAAAGCAAAGCATGAGAAAAAAAAAATTAAAAATTCCACACTCAAAGTTAACGTATTTGATTTTTGTGAAATTAGATGTGTACATATTATAAAAGGAAAGAAAAAACGCTTACGCCCGAGCAGAAACGACGATTACGGCGTAAGAGAGTCTTATATTGGCCTGTTATTCGCGTGTCTTGGCAATCGTTGAAGATAAAATATATATTATATATTTTACATGTGTATTATAAAGTCTAATGATACGGTGTATTTTTGTCGATAAATCGATTGCGACGATCTGAAACAGAAAGAAAAAATGTATAAAAATAAATATAATTGAATCTTTACGCCGAGACGCGCGAACGATCGAAAAGGATTAGCAAATATTATTGTTGCGGCAATACGCGAAATAAAAAAAAACAACAACATCTCCTCGTCGCAATGCGCTGGACAGTAATCGTATTGTGCACCGGAGATAGAGAGTTACACGTCGCGTGAAAAATCGAGATGAAAAAAAATGAATAAATAAAAAAGATTACGACTAGTTTTTTTGTAAAAAAATGTTGAATGGTCTTACGAGATCTTGAGGATGTAAGAAGAAAAAAAAAATTGTTCTATTTTTCAACGATCTCTCGTGTGTTTTATCCGTGTTATCGTCGAGGTTTTAAGAAAAAAAAAAACGAACGGCATGAGGCATGCGCACAATCGGCAGTTTTTAATAAATGTACGGTCCATCGAGAATAACCGAAAAAAAGGCATATTTAGCATGCAACAGAGACATGTTTCTTTTTTATATTAGCTTCTTTTTTAAGTATAAGTTTTTAATGTAATAAAATAATGGTTTTTTTATCTATAATAATTTTGCAATAAAGTGAAATTTGTTTTTATACAAAAAAAAAGAAAGGTGGAAAAAATCACGCGCACTCATTTTGATTTTTTAATCACGATTTTTTGATCGATTTACGAAGGATGTAACAATGATAATAATAATTTTTAGCGTATTTTGTATGTGGCATTGATATCAACGAGTCGAGGCGTTTTCGCCACGCAATATTTGTTACACATACATTTTTTCCGTCATTATAATAGCGCCAGTGCGATGTGCGCGCACAAACTGATGATTTTTATGATAATAATGATGTTTTGCTGCATAATTTTTTAATGATATTTTTCGTTTTTTAAATCTTCGAGATAACAAAAAAAATGAAATTAAAAAATATTCAATAACTGCCATTTTTGAAAAAAAAAGAACCGTACAATAACTGCATTGTGTTATTTTTTTTTCGAAAACCGTTGTTCAAGTGTCATGTTTCAATAACGTCTACATATAGTTCTTGAATGCCATTCCAAAGTTCAACGAACGTGATAGTGTATTTAATTAATATATTGCTATTACTGCTATACATTACAGAGATTAACGACGAAGCTCATTATTAATTCTAAAAAAAGAGTAAACAATTACGGCTTGGGCTCGAAAAGTAACATTGATTTCTAAAGGAGAGGAAAATATTTATCTCGACGTAGATTATTACTCTGTTTACTGCGAGATTATCTATAAACTATTGAGCGTGAATATTTTCCTATGTTTTGAAAGCTTTTGCTTCTTCCTTTTTCGTGAGTCATTGTTCGCGCTTCGCGTCGAGTTCAGTTATGGCGCTAGGTGGCGCCGAGATGCAAAATTAATTTTCCGCAAGAGAAAAAGTCGAGTTGGGGGCTTAAAAATTGTATAGCCCTGTGTAAAAAAATTATGAATTATGATTGAGTCATAGGCACAAGCTGTAATTTTAGATTAATTTAAAAGCGCTAAACCTCGATAATAACAAAAAAAAAATTGCCTTTTAACCTGTTCAAGCAGCTAAACCATATCATATACTAAAAAATAAAAATCTCAACGTTAGATTGAATTTAGCATCATGCCTGTTGCTGTTGTTTATAAATGCGACACAAAAAGTAAGTGATAGAGGGAACTAGTTTTGTACTGCGAAATAAGAATGGACTGAGTTTAGACGATCCTTAAATATTATAATTTCCCTGTTAGATGAAAGAAAAAAATTACTGACTTTTTCGTGAAATAAGAACCGATTCATTCCACTCTTTAATGTAAATAATATAAGGACACATCTGAAAATTCGATGACAATAATGCTTTGACTGATCAATAATTAACGTTTTTAAGGGAATTGACGCGTGTGTGTATTGTTTAACTTTAACTGAGCGATTTTTTTTCGAGCAGTGCAATTTTTCTTTGTAAACGTTCCGACACAAAAGGTGTATATTTCTTATATACAATGAAAATGCTAAAAATTTTCTAAGCGTACAAGCTTCAAAGGATGATCTATATTTTCAAAGTTATACCAATGTAACTGTAAACGCTTTTGTCAGAGAACTACAAAACCTGTACGAGTCTGCAGTAACTTAGGATCCAAAATGATTTTGAAAAAAAAAGAAATTAAATAAATCAGCTGTGACAATATGTATATATGTGTAAAAAATATAACAGACTTTTTATTCCTTCCTTCGAAATCTCACTTCCGGTATATATTTCGAAAGGGGGGGCCAAAGCGTGATTGTGCAAATCGAGTTTAGATAAATATTGAAGAAATTACTTTTTCACGATCTCTTCACTCGTACATCATCGAATGTAATTAATCTTATCGCTGGGTTATCTAATTGCCTTCTCATTCTTCTCTGAGTATATGATTCAGATCTCATTATCAATTGCTGGAATAGCATAATGTACTGCGGCACCCAAACTGACATTTTTCAAAATTACAACTAACTTGTGAAAGTAGAATACGGCAGAGATGAGTAATTATATTTTTTAAACGACTTTCAACTTACCTCTGGTGAACTTTCAGCGATGGCTCTGAAAACTTAATATTTAATTTTGTACTTAAACAAAACTTTTGGAATTAAAATTGAATCAATGTTTGCTTTTCCGGTAGTTTACATCAAACCGCTGGATATCATTATTACTTTTGCTATTTACACGATTTCTCACGGGTAAGTACTTTTGCGGTTAAATAGAAAAAATATATTAATCAGTAAATTTGAAATTATTAAACTAGAAAAAAATTACGAGCTGCGATTATTATTGTAAAAGTCGTTCTCAAAAATGTTGCAACCTTATACGTCATTACAATGACGTAGACTATCAGTTATTTACTTCGGTAATGAATCTAAAATTAGCTTTCGAATTTATCAGCACGTACAAAACAAGTTAAAAAATGCACTTTTATCGCGCGCAAACGACGGTTGGAGGAGGGGGATAGAAATTTAATTTCCAACAGATATGATTTGGTTTCGTAATGAGACTTTATAAAGAAAATTATTTGTATAAGACAATCCATATTTATAATTGACATATCGTGTAAATGTGAATAAAAATTAAAAAACAATCAATACAAATAGTCGCAAAAACAGATCGGTGGTAGTCGATTTTCCATTTTCTTCTTTTTCTTTTTCTTTTTTACGGCGCTTTATATATAATTCATACAGAGAACATTCACAATATTTACAAATTTTTCTCCTCCCAATTGTATTTGCTCTTAACTCTTACGTAGTTTTAAATTGGATAAGTTGATCTGAAAATGCGAAAGTTACTTGGTAAATTCGCAAATTTGACGCATTCAAACATACTTAAAATGTATATGTTCGCGAACGCGCGGATACAATAGTTTTGCGCGACGCGCACGATTAGTCGAAGGTATTCTCAATTTATCAGGAAGTTCATTCGTATATTATTCTCTACTTATATTTAAGATTATTTTTTATTTTTAATATTTTTTTTCCACGTTATCTACACAAATTTTGCTGAAAATTGGATGGTCACGTTTCTCGAAGTGTGTGCAGCAGCAGCGGTAGTAGTTATACATAGCGTTTCGACGAGCTTTTCTCATCCATCCTCTCTCGAGCATTATAATGAATTTCTACTAAAATTAAGATCGGCACTCGTTCGCTCTTATACAAAAATTTATTCATCTACATACAGTAATTCTAAACAAAAAAAAAGAAAAAGAGAACGTCGTCCGATAATCATACTGAAACGATCGAAACCGTATACACGTACGACGACCTCCTACGTTTAATTAAGTCAGTCATTCGTCGATAAAAATAAAAATATATTGTATATTGGAATGCCACTTAGTCTCTCTCTTTATATAAAATTTTTCGGCACTCATCATCATCGAGTGTACACCGCAAAACACACAATCTTTCATCATTACGCACGCGTTACTTGCGATATCTTCTCCGCGAAGAATATTTCCGCTCTTTTGTAAGAAAAATAAATAATATGTACTAAACGAGAAGAATGCAATACGCACACACATAACGACGCGCGCGCAAAAATTGCATTCATTCATCGGGGAGTCGAACACGTTTTTCGTTATACACACACTCGCGCACACACAGGCTTGTACACACACACACACACGATAATGATAAAGAAAAACATTCTTGAATTTACGTAATTGCAAATTACGTACCTGTTGATGCAAGCTTTAGAAAAACGTGAGATTATAAATGTCGCGCGCTCTTCGGTGCACACACAAGAGAGGCGTCTCGTTGTACGCCTCACTCTCTCACTCACTCAATCGACAATATGTATACGTATATTTATATATATGTAAGTGCGAGCGCAGCGGCTGACTTGTTTGAGGAGATACATTTATTGTGCATATATTTGAGATTCGATAAAACGTCGTCTCGTCGCGCTCTATGCACGCGCGCGGGAATACGCACACGCTATACGCGCATTTACGCTAATTGTATTTATATAATAATCTTTTTTCTTTCTTCGCCTTCTTCTTCTTCATCTTTTTGTTGTTATTCTTTCATCGTTTTATGGAAGAGCAGGTTTCTTCGTTCGTCTTTTCTGTGTGCGCAAAGTTTTCAAAGCCGGTACAATGGAATAATATATAATATAGGTAAAAACTCGGCCTCTCGCGCGCTCGAACACTCTCTTTTGTCATCGTCAAGTCCTTAAAGTTACACGCTAGAAAATTAATTGTATTCTCGAACACGTTGACATGTACATATATATTTTTTTTTATACATCCATTTGATTCGAAAAGTATAATTACAATATGTTTTTAAATACAACTCGCGGACACGCACATTCGCGGCAAGGACAGAAATGGGTGAGCGAAGATTATACATGTGTGTATATATACGAAGAAAAACGAGGGCACAGCCCTGCACATATGATATATATATATATTATATACACGTGCTTATATATGTACCGTGTTGATGCCTTGGTTTTGCATTATATACGAGAGTTAGCTCAAATATGTAATGTGTAAGGTAATATGTGCGATAATGCGAAAGGAAAAAAACTCACGTAGTTTTTTTCGAGATTGTCGCTCGGTTTTCGTATCACCTCTCTCCCTCTCTCTCACACACACACTAAGGTTTAAAAATGATAAGACGTCTGGACTCTTTCTTTTTTTGCAGAAAATAAATATACAATTATCATAAACGCGCGTGTGTGTGAGATCGAATAAAAGGACGCGGGGGCTGCATTTAAAATCGGTTAACGCGATAGAAAATAGAATCAATTACTTAAAAAATATATATACTTTTTTTTCCGTGGAAGAGATATTTTCGACGCTTTATTTATAACGTGGCTTTTTAAAAAAATAAAAGTCGTTTCTTTTCAATTCTCGCGTATATGTGTGTGTGTGCGCGTGCGTGCGACGTGAAAATTCGCCTCAGACTTGAAAATAATTAATAGGTCAAAGTTTTTTGCTGTGCGCGTACGAACCCATTGGTAGTCGATAAAAAACAATGACAATCACAAGTATACATCTTATTTTCATTGCATACACGTCGAAAGAAGCTTATGAATATTTCACACTGAGATATATTTTTATAAAAAATAACAAGAACGAGAGTTTGGTAAATTCCATTATTAACGCGCTGTGTGTGCGCGCGACGTTTGACCGATTGTATATTAAAAAAGTATCGTGCTCGTTTCTCATAAAAATTGTGCTCGAGGTGCAATAGTAGTTTTAAACTTGTTTGGCTATTTGGCATATAATTCATAACACACAATAGAAAACATTTTTTAGTTAGCGGACGAGAGCGCAGAGCCCTTTTCGTAATTGATGTACTTGTCGAAGCTTCCTTTTAGAAAGAAGAATTTACGCATGCCACACGGATATTGTATGAAAAATTCGTTCATTAAAAATCACATACAGATTTATTAAAAAAAAAAAGTTACATGAATTTGACGTCATAATTGCACGCCTAAAAATATACACGCAACATTAAAAGGCAGCATCGAACTTCTTTTTTTTTTTTTTTATCGAAATTAAAACTGGTCTTTAAAGAGCAGAAAGTAATTTTAGACAAGGCTGTCGAATATTGCATAATTTTTAAGCGTTTATAAAAAAATCTGACATTCGTACAAAAAATTTCAATCTGTTTTGACGCGCGCAAAACATTATGCGTAATTTACTTTTTTTTTTTCAACGTTTAACTCAGCAAGATTAGCTATATAAAATTAATTGAACCACGAAATACACACCCAAAAATGTATTTCTCACGATTTCCTTAAAAATAATCTCAATATATTTTTGTTCCTAATACGGCTTAAAAAATAGTCATTGTACACATAAATTTCATACAAACATTTAAACAGTAATTCCATTAATATTGCACTAGACATTTATCAGTGAAATAATTTGTGCACATCTTCATATTAATTTATATAAAATAGGACATTTTTTACAGTATTTAACAAAGAGCGGCCCACTTTGTTCACATGACATGAAAAATTTCATAATTTGGAATTATATAAATGTCGTATTTTTAAAAGATAACTGCAATCATATATAATTTCGTCTAGATTTCATCTCGTGAAATCGAATCAGTTCGCAATTTTTTTCGTCCGTCAGCGTATTCAAATTCTTCAATTTATCGTCAAAATTTCGCTACGAATTTCACACAGGTATACACATACGTGAAAGTAAATCGCGCGCGCGCGCTCGAAATTCAGCCTTGTTGTTTGCAAATAAAATTACAAAAAAAAAAAAGAATAAAAAAATAAATATTTTAAATCAAGTTCGAGTCATTTCGGTTCGCGAGTGTCACACGCGGCACGCGCATTATCGGCCACCACAAGACGCGCAGCAGCATAGCAGCGCCGGAGAGACACTTCGCGCGTAGTATGCTATATATTTTTTGCGTGACTCGTTCCCGAAATTCCGCACCGAATTTCTGTATCATACATATACTTTCGATCGCGCAGCTCGTACATATATACGCTCGAGTTCAAGCACATTTACATATTACAAAAAAAAAAAAAAAAAANATACCAAAAAAAAAAAAAAAAAGAGGAAAGAAAGAAAAATAAATCGAACGATAATTTTATCATTATTCTATTCCTAAAAGTATCGATATTACCGGACGCGGACGCGGGTCATCGAGCTTCCCTTTTTTTTCTATAAGCCTATCTAAGCGTATATAATGCAAATTTATAATCGTAGATAGCCGCGCTCGAAACGGCTATATCCATTTTGTCCATTAACCTCGTATTTTTCCATCTTTTTCTTTTTCGACTGTGTGCAGCAGCAACGACGCGCGCGGTCACACGCATACGATATTTTATTTATACAATATTTATTCTAAAAATTGGTAAAACGCGAAACGCATAAAAGCCGCCGTTGTGTGTTTATATCCTCGTCGTCGTAGTGTGTGTGCGCGCGCTTGAATCTATAAAGATTATTTTATCCGAGAAACGCGCGCAATATTATACAGTATGTAATAATTCGACGCGCTCGAAGTATTGCACGTAAAAAATCAAAAGCCGAAAGTAAAAAAGAAAAATAAATACATCTATACTTCGTGTAAATATTAATAAATAATGATCTAAGCAGTGCCATTGCACTCGTTGCCGAGTGGCTGCTGTCGAAACGTCGTCGTGGTGCCGTTTTTTTCGTTCTGCTGCTGCTGCTTCTTCGACGCTTCGTCGTTGCCGATGACGATCGGTGCTTGCGACTGCGACGTAGACGAAGACGACGACGTTGACGTTGACGACGTAGTTGCTGCGGCTGCTGCTGTCACAGCAGCCGTCGTAGTCGACGACGATGACGAATTGACGGCGGCGGCAGCGGCACTGCCGTTCGTTTCGGCCGAATTATTGATCCTGGATCAGCTGCCCGGCAATTCCAAGCTTTGGTTCTGTCGCAATTCTTGCAAATGGCACTCGGATAGCGGTACTTGTCTCGTTCTCGCGCTCTGCTTCTTCTGTGCGTCGTGCGATAGAGAGAAAAAAAAGAGAAAATTACGTGTGAGGCCTCGGATTTTGCCGCATGTGTAATAATAATAATTGTTTATTCGATCTATCGCGCGGCCGGGACATACGTGACGTCTGTTTGACAAACGCTCGAGGGCAAGAAGAAGAGAGATAGATGGAAGATAAGTGTACACACATATACTCGCGAGCAAACAAGAAAATTAACGCGAGTCGAGTATTCCGTGTATAATTGCATTGAAAATGTCGAGTACGCGCGGTATATCACACGCGTTTATACAGGACGATAACTCTTGGATATACGTACCCTCCGTCGGAACGGGAAGCAGCCTCTGTTTTGATTATTGACCGTCGGATGGTCGATCAGGAGATCCGGCGTGGGCGTGTTGCTGGGGCCGAGGACGTTGAGCTCCTTGAAACACTCCGTCTCTATCATCTGCGCACAACGAGACCAAGCAAAAAGAAAAAAAAAGAAAAAATGAAGATAACGTAAAGCTCGAGTTCAATAATAATCTGAGAAACTCCGCTTTCTCTCTCTCTCTCTCTCTCTCTCTCTCTCTCTGTATCTGCTCCGAGGGGGAGTGCTTGCACGTGATGAATTGTGCTTTCGCATTATATGATATTATACGCATGTGCACCGACATGTGCTGTATAGCACACACACGCTGCACGTTACACAACTCGTGCTTGCGAATAATATAATATTGGCTTTTAGAGAGAGAGAGTGAGAGATAGGTGAAAAAAAAATGAAAATAAAAGTAAAAAAAGGCTCACCTCGTTCTGCCAGGGTATCGACACGCTGCCCGTGTTGAATCGACTGTAGAACGTGTCGTCGGTGGCGTCCAGATTCACGCCCTTAACCGTGGAGAACTGCTCGATGTCCAGCACGTCCTTGGCGTAGACGGCGTGCGGCTGAGAACGAGAAAAATTCATCACGCGATTGTGAATTATTTTTGCGTCTTGCGATTTATATGGATGTATACAATTCGACCGAACAATTAAATCACGCTTATAATATACGGGTTTATACGCGCGTTTAATATAACGATAACTCAATTATCCCCGAAAATACGATTTCGAATTATGCATTTATATCATACGCTCGAGCGTAAGACGTCAAGCAACGACGGCCATAACGAATAATAATAATAACGACGACGACGATGATGATTATACTGCACCATCCACCCCCGTCCGTCGTCCTGCCCTCGCTATATATAGACGCTTAACACACGTGTACAGCACGTTCGTACACAGCAGCGAAGCGCCTCTCTCGGTCTGTCTCGCGGGGCAATAGGATAGATTGATTAAGTTTGCATCAACTTCTGTCCGCGGCTACTACTACTAACCGTTCACGACCCTATTTATATACATAGATATACACGCGATGCTCTCGGACACGCGCTCGGCAGCACCAGGATGCTGCTGACTGGTATATGACCTCGCATATTGATTAGGCTTATAAATTCATAAATTGCATTATATCGGATTATATGTATGTGTGTGTGTGTGTGTGTGCGCTTGGCTGTCCATCTCTATGGAGCTTTCGAGTTTAAAGCTCTCGCGCGTACTCCCGAGAGCATAAGGTAAATATACGGTATACGTATTGGAGCATATATGTGCGCGCGCCCGATTTTCCCCCCGTAATTGAAAGCATATTTTACTTTCCCTCGAAGTTGTCGACAACGAGAGAGAGAGCGGAAAAGAAAAAGAATGTAAATACGACGACGACGAGCACCTGCGAAAAGTTTTTTGCCGCTTTTTCTCCTTTATTTTCAATTCTCTCGCTCGCATTTTTCTTTTCTCCCCCCCTTCCGCCCTCGTTGACGCAAAAGAAAAATCATAAGGGTGAAATCAAACGGTTATACTTACATCCGGCACGAAGGGTGGCTCCCACATGCCCGCCTCGACCCTCTTCCAGTTGAGGCACTGGAAGAAGGCCTGCAGCTTGACCTCCTTGGCGCCGTGCCTGCCGTCTCGGCAGCCCAGCCGCATCTTCGGGCTCTTGGCCAACAGCTGCCTGCACAGAGCCGCCGCCTCCTCCGAGAACTTGGCCGAGTACTTCTCCTGGTCCTCCTTGACGCGCCTGTCCACCTCGTCGCGCTTCACCTTCTCCTTGCGCGCGCGAAACGGCGCCTGGCCCTCGATCATCTCGTACAGCAGACAGCCGAAGCTGAACCAGTCCGGCGAGAAGGTGTACTTCTCGTTGTCGATCACCTCGGGCGCCATGTAGCCGACGGTGCCCACGCGGCCGCGCACCATGTCGCCCTCCGTGATCTCCACGGCGAGGCCGAGATCGCTGATGCGCACGTGGCCGTGATCGTCCAGCAGTATGTTCTCGGGCTTGCAGTCCCGATAGACGATGCCGCGCTGATGCAGATGCTCGAGGCCGCATACCACCTCCGCCGCGTAGAACCTGTGTAATCACGATGCACACGGATAAAAATTATCCCTCTGTTTCTTTGAGGAGCTTCCACAGAAACTATGTCAGAAGGGCTTGATAATATTTTTGTAAATATCTATTGATGATTGTATCAAGCAACAATGAGAGCTTGAACGAAGCTTCATGGAAGTTTGCAAAAAAATTTGCAGAAAACTTTCAAAAAAGCTTTCTTAGGCCATTTATGGTAGTACAAAATTGAAATTATAGAGAGATATCAATGAAACTTAGTACTACTTCTTAATTTGACTCCGAGGTTGGCTCTGTGTTGATTTATAAGTAATTAATATTTCGCGTATTTAACACGGGGTCTTATGAAATTGAAAATTGATTTTCTTTGATTGTTTATCAAACTAGTGAAGAAATATCTTTAAAAGTTTTACGCTAAATATTTCAGAATGACACCGCATAGTTATCAATTAGCGTAAATTTCAAAATTGGTAAAAAATTTTTAGAAAGTTACGATTTTTTCACTAATAGGGTATCTGCATGAAAAAAAAAATCATTGAAATAATTACGTTCTAGTAAAATATACGTATTAAGGAATGTGGGAGTAAAAAAATAAACAATTTTGAACAGTCAAGTATTTTTCAATACGAGAAAAAAATCAAAAAAATTTGAAAATTATTTTGAACTCCAAAAACGATTTTGATTGGTCCGCATGAAGTTGTAATTTTTGAAAAAAAAAAAAGATTCATTGATAATTCATACATGTTGATTTCAAAAATATCATTACTTTTTTTTTATGCAAATACTCTATTATGAAATAATTAAAATTTGTGACGATAAGATGTTGTTTGATCGCAGGGTGATCCCAAAGGTGAGGAAAATGAGACTACTGTGAGTGCGAACGTTTTCAGCTTTTTGAAAGCTTCCAACAGGAGAAAAGGCGCCGCGACTCACCTCGCGCGATTGAGATCGAAGCCGGGCTCTCCACCCATGTTGTAGATGTGAAACTTGAGATCGCCGCCGTTCATGATGGTCAACACGAGGCAGAGCGCGTCCTTGGTCTCGTACGCGTAGGCCAGCGACACGACGAAGCGCGAATTGATCTTCTGCAGGATGTTCTTCTCGATCAGCACCATGGACTCGCCTTTGCGCTTCTTGATGCGCTTCTTCTCCAGCTTCTTGCAGGCGTACATCTTGCCGGTGGCGCGCACCTGGCAGGCGCACACCTCGCCGAAGCCGCCCTTGCCCAGCACCCGATACATGCGGAACGTCTTGTACGTGATCGGCTGTGCCTCCAGCCACTTCCACTGCAGGTACCTATGAAAATTATACAAACAGACAGGTGGGAGGTGAGAAAATCATCGACGAAAATTAAGTTCGATCGATTTCGATCAACTTTTAGACTCGAGACAGTATTTTTGGTATGAAAAAGGAAATTAATTATATAAATTATGACTAATTTGACCAATTATTCTTGTGGTATGTTGCGATATACTTTTGCGTGTAAATTCTATTAATAATATTTTTTATTTCGAAATTTTTTCATCGTATGATTTATAAGAACCACATTCAATTTTCGTAAAACGTGTCATCTCCGTAACCACTCATAAAAATGTTTAAGAGACATTCATCTATTTAATCTCCTGATAGTAATGCTCGACATTTAATGGCTAGTTTCTGGTCAACTAAAACGTTCCTTGGGCATAAAAAAGCCATTAGAACTGGTCAAATATACCAAACGAACGTGCATGTTTTTGGCTATTTTTAATTTTTTATGTTCGGAACGTGCAATGTCAATTAAATTCACTTTATTAATTCGAATATAATAATGGAAGAGACGACGTTCTATAGGAAGTAGAAATTTATACTTATATACACAACCAGCTGACTTATACGATCATTTTGCTAAAGCCACTTGCAGATTTACAGATAAAGGTATTTGCCATCTAGCGGTGAACGTCTAAAGTTGTATTATATTGGTCGCGAACTGGTCCAAAATTTTTCGAGAACATTGTAAACAAGATTGTAAATAGAAAAATCGCCAAAAACAAACCAATAAATGCTTAACGTCTCATAAAAAATTTTAAATATTTATCTTTTAGTTATCAGGCCCATTATTCGTTTCGAGCATTTCCAAAAAAAATCGATATACAACACAATCGCTCACCTGTAAAAGTAGAAGCTGGACTGGAAGGCGGCGAACGGCTCGCCGGCCAGGAAGTTCTTCACCGTCTGCGCGATCTCGGCGAAGATCTCCTTGCCCGCGGCGGTGGTGGTCGCTGAGGTGATCGTGGCCGTGGCGCAGAGCCTCGTCTCGATCTCGCGCAGCAGCTCGTCGTTGAGCACCGCAGCGACGACGACTTCGCCCCCAGCATCGTTACCACTGCCGCCGCTGCCGCCGCCGCTGTTGTTGCCGACCCTCTTGTTGTTGAGATACTGCTCGTAGAGGCGGCGCGCCGTCTCGGCGCGATTCTCGTCCGTCTCGAACTCGTAGTTCTCCACGGCGTCGAGGAACAGTATGTACGAGTGCCAGGCCGGCCGCTTGTCCTGGCAGTACTGCCGGAACAGCAGGCGGCCGATCGGCTGCTGGTCCACCACATAGCTGTACTTGATGTCTGTTGAGTAGAGAGGCAAAAAAAAAAAACAATTATCGTCGAGAAAAATTAAGTTCGAGTTTCATTAGCGAAATGGCGTACGTGTGTTTGTTAACAGGGGGGGTCCCAGCAAATAGTACACGCGATTACGAGAGCACACTCGACGATAGAGGCAATTTCTGGCATTCCTAACACGTAGCAATCTTGTATGTGTGGAATATATTTTAATAAAAGCCGCGCGCAGCTTTCTCGGGGCTACGTAATGATCCTCCCCGCGTGTACCCGCGTATGCGTGAATTCGCCGAATGTAAAACTGAGCGAACACCCCGGCCCCATTTGCATTTGCAGTCGTGGAGCATCGTATATAGCGAGTTGGCTTTCTCTCTCTCTCTCTTCATCTCATCGCATCGCAGCGAAGGCAGCAGGGGCGGGTCTGCGTTCACGAATTCTCGAGCTCTCGCTCGTATATATATACGCTCATTGAAGAGAGAGAGAGAGAAAGGCTGAGCGAATTTCCAATGTACACTACTCCGCAGCAGCAGCAGCTCAGTCTGGCAATCAGGCAGGCAGCTCCTGAGAGTTTGATATTTCAGGGCGCGCGCGGGCGGAGAGCTTGCGGTGCGTGTGCTTTCTAATTGAAGCCATATACATTCTTGAGGCATCGCGCGAGGCCTATATAACCGCCTGTATATATACGCCTATATAGCTCTCGCTCTCGCACCTTAAAGAGCAAGTTCAAAGGGTTATCGTTTCCAAGTTTATCGTTGGAAGTCTCTCTCTCTCTCTTTGCTCAGCGCCACATCGACGTTTTTCTAAGATGCTCTCTATATTGGCAACGCGTTTGATCAAGTTCGAGTGCGGCCAAGAGTTCTTCTCTCTTTCTACCGGGCTTTAATCGATCCGATCGAAATCTATTATTTATGTATATAGCGTACGTCGCGCTACCAGCAGCTCTATCTTACACCGCGGTCCTCGAACTCCGCTCCAGATTTTTGCAAACAGCTCTGGTTGTTTTTTTTTTCGATTTATTTCGAACTACGAGCGCGCGCGCGTATTTACACTATATAATACAAGGTATAACTTTTCCCAGATAACTATTTACATCCGAGAAATGCACGCTAAAATTAGGATTTTGTTTGTATCAATTTTATTAATTTTATCTATCTTTGCTCCGTGATTTTATGATAAGATTTAAATTGACAATCAGATACAAGTATCTGTAGCGCCTTTTAAATACCCTTGAAAAAAAATCTAAGGACCTAATCTGACTTGAATCTGCAATAAAAAATGGGGGTCACCGTGAAAAAAAAATGATTTTTCTCAATATTTTGTTGTCTGTAACTTTGAGGTTAGGTTCAAGGTCAAATTCAAAGTCACCCATCGATTCCCCGTCAAAAAATACATAAAATACATGGATTTGTGAATTTTTTCAAACTTTTTCATCATTTTTATCGTCAAGAATCAAATTTTTAAGTTTTTCATATTTATATTTTTCAACTGTTTTGTTTGTATTCTAACATTATTGACCATCGAAACACGATGTTGACCTCAAGAAGAGTAAATTTGTTCAACTTTTATATTAGTGTTGATAGAAATGTGATTATTGTCGGATGTCTCACACTTCAAATTGTGATATTCAAATAGAAATATATTGTTTGATCGGGGCCAGAAGATTTTGACAGGGAAAAAATGTCGATAACTTCAGTGAAGTATGAATACTTTCTTACGAAAATTCGGGCTGAATTGCTTATTAATATGGTCGATTATTTAAATCTCAACGAAATTGAAGAAGAACAATTAGAGGATAAAAATATCTTAAAGAATATAGTACGGGAGGGAATGGGAAAATTTGTGGGAATTAAACGAACTTTGTTGTATTTAAAGGCGTTTAAAAGTATGATTCTAAATTTTAAGATTGATTATTTGAAGACGGTAAATTTGTACCGATTAAATTATGGTATACTGGCCGTCGCTTGTGTTGAATATATCCTGTACCCCAACCAAAATTATGAGCAATATTTGATGATATATGATTGCAGCAAACAGACTGCAGAGAAGCTGTATAATAAGCTATGTAATTTTCCATACATTCAGAAACAAACAGTGGATATAGTTAAATCAGCTAGATCTTTTTTTCAATGGCAGAGCTTATTATGCAAGCCGGGCTACTTGAAAACAATAAGAGAATATTTAAGAAAAATAGAGATCAACAATGACGAGTTATCTTTCATTAAAGACACTTCGATTCAAGTGATGTGAGTAAATACTTTCAAAATTTAAATAAAAGTTTTCGTTAAAATTATATTCAATTTTCAGACGCGATAATAAAGTACAGCAGTCTCGTTCATCTACGCGAGCAGGTTCATTGTCAAACACTGCTCCTAAACCAGGCTCATCGAAATCAGTGAAGCTTAAATTGACTTCATATAAGCGTCGCAGCAATTTTACTTTAATAACAAAAGAATATTTTTTTAACAAACGCCATGTAAACGCTATTATGAATTTACACGAATATTTAATTGCCGAGGAAATTGAAGAAGATTATTTAGAGGATAAGAGTATTTTATGGGATATGCTGCGAAGGGCGATGAAGATATTTCCTAATCGTGAACCAGCCAAATCAGAATTCAACGCGTTTAAAAGTACGCTTCTTACTTTTAATATTGATTATCTGAAGACGGTAAATTTGTATCGATTAAATTATGGCATACTGGTCGTTGCTTGCATCGAATATGCCATGTATCCCGACGAACATAATGAAAAATATAGAAAGATCTATCGCTGTGACAAATACTGCGCGACCAAGTATTATAATGAACTGTGTGGTCTTCCAGAACGAGAGAAACAAGACTCATTCACAGTTAAATCATCTAGATCTTTTTTTTTTAACAATATTTTTCTAACCAAACCTGTGTGCTTGGAAGCAATAAGATCTTACTTGCAACACATTGAAATCGGTAATGATGAATTAAAGTATATAAGAGACACTTCAATTCAAGTAATGTGAGTAAATACTTTCAAATTTTAAATAAAATTTTTCATTCTTAAGTTATATTCAATTTTTAGACGCGATAATGCTGCTAAAAACAGAGTTGAGCAATCGCCAAATATTATTGATCCGATCGAAGATCATTAACTTTGCCCAAGAACGATCAGTAGCTTCGTCTATCGATGCCGGATACATTGACGGTAAAATATGCTTATTCATCAGTGGTATCAAAAACTTTATAGCCAGCGAAAAATTGTAGAAGTTCGCGGTCATTTTGTGTATAATTAAGTGTTTACATTATCAAAAGGAAAAGCCGTAATTTTACAGAAAAAAGATATGAAAAAGTTTGCTAAAGAAGATATCGATAATACTGCCTACTGTCTGAGTTCAGATTTGACATGAGAATGTTTCTCAAATGCAATAGCATAAGCAATAATTACTAGACTACATTTTTTTCAATATAATGTAATTTATCTTTTGATCCCATTTCATACAACTGTATTTTATTGATAAAATTTTTAACTAGCATGCAAGAATTTACCATTTTTTATTTAATATTATCCGCGGGGCGGCGGCGACATCTGCGCGACGGTGACTATGTGCACGCTGCTGCGAGTACCCGAAATTTTGGCCCTTTTACAATTAAAACTTTCCTCCAATGGGTCGCACGAACAAGAGAGAGAGAGAGAGAGAAGTGCACACAGGAGCCAACGCCTAATTCTCCCGAGCGCCGCCCGTGTGCAGCTGCGACGTGTACACGTGCGCGACGACGACTCGCAAACTCGTCGCTATAATGTATAGCGTTTCGAGAAAATTCGAATGAAAAATCGCGTATTGCAATTAATGTACGTTCGAATAAACTACTTTCGATTAAAACAAAATATTCGATAATTTCTTGTCGTGATGGTCTCCTTACTTAGCGAAGAAAATTATTTTCGCACAAATGATTATGTTCGACGAGAAAACTTAACTTGTATAAGAGAAATGGCTAGGAAGAATTAATCGGCTAACCGCTTATTTCTAGAACTCAACCTTTTCTCTTGTGATTTTCAAATATTCGGACGCACGCCACCTAGCGGTAAATTACAGGCACAATTTGATACTTCTTTCGATAAGGACGAGGCTCGTACTAAAGAAATAAAAATGCTCGATAGATATTAATTGGAGTACCAAAAATAAGCTCGATGCACATCGTCGCGAGTAAGTTTTCTACCGCGTATAATTCGAAAAAGGTGTTACATTCCGAGTGAAATATCTCACGTTTCTATCGTACACACGACGGAGAGAGCCAGGACACTTCAAGAAATTCGCCCCTTAGAAGTTCGACGCGTGCAGCCGGTGACTTTCATACGTTCGCAATTTTATATACGTATCGTAAATATATAGCTGCGAGGTGCACAATTGGCGAAAGCTGCCGCCGCCACTGCTGCTGCTGCTGCTCTCCCCGGCTTATCGCGTGTCGACGCGCGTAGATATCTATATATGTATGTATGTACTCTTTGACCTCGTCCGCAAGGGAAAGTGCTATACGGCGTATATATAATATAGTATAGCTACGCGCTATTTTCATTCTCTCCACCCACGACCACGTCGCTTAACCCTTGCTTGCTTGCTCTCTAAAAGCGCGCGAGTTTAAACATTTTTTTTCTCTCCTTTTTTTTTTTTACTTCGCGGGAACTAAATTTGCGCCGCGCGCACGGAGCTTCATTATTAACTTCGCGCGCGCGAGCGAGAAAAGCTTTTGCCGCTGCCGCGCGACGTTATAAGGCGGAATGTAATCGAATAGATCATCGTAACGTATAGCCACCCGTGCTAGCTACTGCTGCTGCTGCTGGAGGTGTGTATACATGCTATACTTTCATCTAGAGGCTGCTGCTGCTGCTGGGAAAAGCTCATAATTCAATGCGAATCCTTTCACCTTGGCAAACACAAATTTTCCATTAAAGCTCGCGGCGAGCTTGCACGCTATGTACTGTACGCCGCGGCGGCGGTAATACACACGTACGGGCGAAAGCAGAGAGAGAGAGAGAGAGAGCGTAGAAATAAGGTGTTAAAAAAAAGCTTCTTACGTGGCAAGCACGTGTGTGTGTGCTTGCACGCCAGAAGCCGCGAGATAGAAAACTCATCAAGCTTTTATACGTTGGGTATATACATTATAACGAGGCGCTCTAGCTAGTCTAGCTCGAGCTTCGAGCTAGCTGCTGTTTTATTATATAAGTGTGTATAAGCCCATAATTACACTCGTGAGAGCTGAGTGAGTGCAGCAGAGAGCAAGTGGCAAACGATTTTCTTTATCGCGCGCGCGCTCGCGTCGTCGTCGTCGCCGAGTATAAACACAGCGCAGCGCTGTGGCACTCGCCTTATAACCATATAACGCAGCTTTCGAAGAAACACACGTATATACATAGAGAGAGACTTAGCGAGACGAGTTGCGACGGCGAAAATGGAGAAAGCTTATATACACCGCAGCAGCAGCAGCAGCAGGTGCAAAAACCTCATTATCTTTTCACTTATATAAGTCAAACAACGAGAAACTGTAACGCGCGCGCGCGAAAGATATCGTCTCCTGCCGCGTACACGTAGTTTTCATTTGTATTATATACGCTGGTTACGTTATAATACAGAAGTTTCGTCCTTGGCACTTGTTCTCCGTGCGCTCTATATCCTTTACGAAACGTCAAATATCATATATAGGCATGTATACAGATCGGGAGAGAATACGTAAGAGACGCGCGTGAAAATTGAATGAATAAAAGCTCGACACGCGCGTGTAGCAGCAGCAGCAGCTAGAGCAGCAGCTAGAGTAGCCGAACCATATTTCGAGAAATAAAGCAGCGATAAAAATTCACGAGCACGATCGCTCCGAAGGCAACACCGTATACACATATATTCCTCTGCTCCATATGTATGTATGTATGCGCGCGCCCGAGCGCCGCGTGTATATATAAGGCATGTAGACGCATGGCAAACACTCGCGGGGCGACATGTAGACGCATTATTATGACGTTGAAAAATGAGAACGCGAAGCAGCAGCAGCAGAAAAAAAACAGACGTTCGAGCGCGTATCGTTGCGTAATGCTAATACTACTTTTTTTGTCGGCTAGTAACAACACACAAGTGCGTGCGTATATTCCGATGAAAAGCTTCGCGCGAATATGCGCGCAGCTGCGATAATGGCAATTTCTCTAAATTTGTTGCAATAAAAAAACCATTTCTCGAGCTGCCGCCAACCGGAGAGTGAGATTTGCGTACGCGAGCTTAACGCCTGCTTCGGCTGCTGCACCCCCGACGTCGCAACGTTTCTCGTTTCGCTGTGTGACAGCAGTAGTGGTAGTTCGGCGCGAAGGATAAAAATCAGCGGTTTTTCCTGGCTCGCGCGCGCGCAAAAACTTGCAGCAACGGCAGCAGCGTCGGAGCTTCGTTTACCCTTTATTTCGTTTTTTTTTTTATCTCTTCGCGTCGTTATATACTAAACGTACGAGCCGCAGCCAGCAAAAGAGGAAAAAAGAAAAAGGGAAGAGAGAGAGAGAGAGAAAGAGTTAGGGAACATTTTTCTAGCCTAGAAAACGCGCCGTGCACGTGTATGTTAGGGTGGTCCACTTTTTCAAAAATTTTTTTAATCTTGGGGGATCCAACGGAATCTGAAAGTTTAAGGTTTAAAATGAATTTTCCCGTAAAGTAGAGCTAAAAAAAATGATTTTAGATGGTGTCGATGGATTTTTGAAGTTTTTTTTTTGACGTAAAAAAATCGCAGCCGACAGGAGGCACTTCGATAGTTTGCCAGATTTTCTATAAAGCCATAATGGGTTTTGTGAATACATTTTCTTTTGTATTTTTTGCCGTAGAATCGAATGCCATCATTAGTTTTGGGCTATAAAAACGATTTCAGTGAAAAAATTGCGATTTTTGAATTTTTTTCTGTTGAAAAATCGAAAAATTCGTCTTTTCACGTCTGGCAAATGAACAAAAAAAATCGTAGAAGCTTTTAATCTACGGATTTAGTTAGGAAATTTCATAACGAATCGAAGCCCGTCGTCGGTTTTTGCCTACAAAATTATTTTAAGTCATAAAATTGCGATTTTCCGTAGCTATGATTACGAAAAAAATCGAAAGATGCGCCTTTTAGCGTGTTAACATACACTGAATGTAGCTGTGAGCATTTTAACATGGTTTTTAATGGGATTTTTGGCGTAGAATCGAATGGCGTTGTTACTTTTACGCTACAAATCCATTTTCAACGAGAAATCGCTCCTTTTTGAATTTTTAAACATGAAAAATGACCATTAGGCGCCAGAAAATCAACTAAATAGTCTAGTAAGTATTCAAACATGTTATTTGTCGGGATTTTTTTCGTGGTATCGAATTTTGTTGTTACTTTTACTCTTTTAATTTATTTTCAGCAACAAATTGCCTTTTTTGTAGTTTTACTAACGCAAAATATCGAAAAATGCTACTTTTGGCAACGTAAAAATTTATAAAATTATCTGATCATATTTCTTTTATAAGTAAAAGAACGTGATCCAAATAAGGCAATTTGTTGCTGAAAATAAATTAAAAGAGTAAAAGTAACAACAAAATTCGATACCACGAAAAAAATCCCGACAAATAACATGTTTGAATACTTACTAGACTATTTAGTTGATTTTCTGGCGCCTAATGGTCATTTTTCATGTTTAAAAATTCAAAAAGGAGCGATTTCTCGTTGAAAATGGATTTGTAGCGTAAAAGTAACAACGCCATTCGATTCTACGCCAAAAATCCCATTAAAAACCATGTTAAAATGCTCACAGCTACATTCAGTGTATGTTAACACGCTAAAAGGCGCATCTTTCGATTTTTTTCGTAATCATAGCTACGGAAAATCGCAATTTTATGACTTAAAATAATTTTGTAGGCAAAAACCGACGACGGGCTTCGATTCGTTATGAAATTTCCTAACTAAATCCGTAGATTAAAAGCTTCTACGATTTTTTTTGTTCATTTGCCAGACGTGAAAAGACGAATTTTTCGATTTTTCAACAGAAAAAAATTCAAAAATCGCAATTTTTTCACTGAAATCGTTTTTATAGCCCAAAACTAATGATGGCATTCGATTCTACGGCAAAAAATACAAAAGAAAATGTATTCACAAAACCCATTATGGCTTTATAGAAAATCTGGCAAACTATCGAAGTGCCTCCTGTCGGCTGCGATTTTTTTACGTCAAAAAAAAAACTTCAAAAATCCATCGACACCATCTAAAATCATTTTTTTTAGCTCTACTTTACGGGAAAATTCATTTTAAACCTTAAACTTTCAGATTCCGTTGGATCCCCCAAGATTAAAAAAATTTTTGAAAAAGTGGACCACCCTAGTGTATGTATGTATATTTAAATACCTGGCCGACGAGATATACGATGCGAATAGTTTTTTCCGCGCGCGGCTCTCGTGTTTTTCTTTTGTGCGGCCGACTGCTGCTGCTACAGCTACAGCTGCAGCTATACACAGCGCATCTCTCCGCTCTACGCTCGCGTCCAATCGAATATATCGTAAATAACATTTCCGAATGTTTTCTTCGTTTCCTCCTATTTTACTCTTCCCTTTTTTTTTCGTTTCGTTCGTTGCTGCGCTTTCTCTCTCTCACTCTCTCGCTCGCTTGTGCCTCTTTCGTAATTTTATTTTTACCGCACGCCGAAAGAATAATTGTTTTTACCCAGAGCGTACACACTTACGATGCTTCGCGCTTGGAGAGATCGAGAGCAAATTTTCCCAACTTTTATGCAAGCTCCGGTGTACGTGTGTGTGTGTATACATACTCTGCGCAGTGCATCTGAAATTTGCATGGTACATAACGTATACATAGACACACAGAGTCATGGTCGTGTGTGCAACAGTTACGCCGCAGCTTCAACTTTATAATCCAAGCTCGCTCGCTCGCTCGCGCCAAGCACCCCCGCACGAGCTTGTAAAGTTTGAAAATTTATCTGATGCAATACAATGTGAGCTTGTGATTTGTCTCTCTCTCTCTCTCTATGCTACGCGTCCTATGTACGTTATACCATCTCGTAAAATACATCCCAAAATTTTACCTCTTTCCTATCTCTCTCTCTCTCGCGTTGAATAAGAAAAGCGGCCGATTCGTTGGTAAAGATTACGTATATAATTGCGTCTATCGCACGCGGGGGTGAGCTTGCAGCAACGAGCCCTCTGACCCCGGAGTAAAGCTCGCAATTCGAAAGCTGCTCCATACATCATCCACGCTGTAGGTCGTACTATACAGAGTGAGAGAGAGAGAGAGATGCGAAATCTCGGATCAAGCAGCGCGCAACTCGATATATAATTAAACGCGTTTATTTATTTGTATGTATAAGCTCGTCTAAAATCGATCCTCCTCTTCCTATACGGAATACGGAACACACAGATACGTGTGTATGTGTGTGTGCTTGCGCTGTGCGCGTCAAGCTGCACGGAACACAGCGCGCACAAAGCGTGGATTTATATATATAATGCGTACATCGAGCAGGGCGTGTTGTAGTACGGTATACGTGTGATACGGCGACGAAAGTTCACGTACACTGCACTCACACCGATGCTCGAGCTGGAATATATGCGTGCGACACAGGAACACGGTGCAGAGAGAGGATCCTGATGTTGCTGCTGCGTCGCTGCTGCACTGGCACGTAATCCCCCGGAGATCAGTTTGCAATATTACAGCGATATAATGCTGCTGCTGCTGTTGCTGCTGCTGCTACTGCAGCAGCTGCATCCGTATAGCCGTAACGAGACGCGCACACAGAGAGCAAGAGAGAGAGAGGGATATTATTGAACTGCCTTCGGGATAAAATATTAAAAGCTCCGCGACGAGCAGAGAGAGATAGAGCGAGTGAAAAAAAATATATATATAATTGAAACGTGCGTTGCGTGATACTGCTCTGCCCTGGCAAAATCAATCTATATGTATATATAGAGTCAATATAATATATAATAATATAATACAAAACGGCATACAATCGGCTATCCACGTATAAAAAGCTTCCTCCCTTTCCTTTCACCCCGTCACCGCGCTGCAGCTGCCCGTGTCAATTTGCAGTAAAAATTAATCGAGCGCCATTACCCTCTCGCAAGCTCCCGTACGCGCGCGCGCGAAATTAATGCAAACGTAAACAAGTTAACCCGTGCGCGTTGAAGCTTTTATAACAACGTGTAAATGGAAAAAGGGATTCTCGCAATTTTCCCTTCGCCCTACATATAGCTCGAGCGCGTAGTTTGCCCTTCTTCTTTTATTTTTATTTTATTTTATTTTATCTCTTTTAGAGCTCTTCTTTTCATTTCTTTCTCTCCTTCTTTTTTTATTCTGCTGCTCCTCCTCGCGCGGTGCGTAAAACGACGCGTATACACATGGTATGGCAGATATAATATTTATTCATCTGTAATTGCCACTTAAAATAATACCAGCGTGCTGCTGCACAGTACGCGCGTTTATGTGTACATACAGCTCTCTTTTTTTTTTTTACATATCATTTATTCCGCTGTAGCCGTCGCACAGCCGGAGCCGCGTCGAAATCGGGAACTTCGGGCACGATTTAATTGACAAAAGCTCTGCCCTCGTAATATGTACATTACACGCCCGGCGCAATAATGTACGTATACTCGTTCGGAGCTCGCTCGAGCGCCAATTAACGATATATTATTCGCTTCTATTATTATGTACTCAAAATTTCTAGCTAGTCCCGGCATAGCAGCACAGCTATGAACGCGCGTGGAGGGCATAAAATTAATAAGCCATTAGTAAGAGAGGTAGAGAGGCTTATTCCTTCATTATCAGGATTTTTTAAAGTTGATCCTTTCGCAGTCGGATCGCTATACGCGGCACGCGGGCTTCATACCCTCGCTCTCTCTCGCTTGCATCGACCTTGTGTATATATACTCGCCCTATGGCCTCTCCTTCTTCCCCCTGTTCCTCCACCCGTTTGCGACTCCTAAGGCGTAGACTCTAATTAAATGCGAGTCTTAATTAAATTCTCACTGATACAAAGTCGCTATGCTCCCGTCTCTCTTCCACTCTTTTTCTCCGTGTCTCGCTATCTCCGGTCTTATAAATTTTACGTAATAGTACGAGTTCCGCCCCCCCCCCTCCCCCCTGTCTCCGTATATATACACATTTTATATTTTTAAAAGCTCGGCTCCGTTATACTCGAATTGGATATAATTTATGCATTACCCGCCGCCGCCGCCGATGCGCCGCTCGCGATAGGAGAATCAGTTCGCTCGCTCGCAGTCGTATACTATGCTATACATATGACAATGCAGAAAATTTCGAAATGGTACATTTAACGTATGTGGCGTAATGTACGTGCCGCTGCTGCTGCTGCATGCATAGTAAGTGCGAAACGGGATTTGCTAAGCGCAGCAGCAGCAGCAGTAGCAGCCGAGTACTATCGGCAGTTATTTTTCCTTTAATCGATAATCGATTTTCCATAATACGTCGTCTTTGGCGTCTCTCCCTTTTATCTCTGGCAGCTCTCTTTGCTTTTATATATTCGTAATCGCGACGTAATAAAACGAGAGAGATATTTTCATTAATGCCAAATTTACGATCGGATCTCGTAATACGCGACGAATATGAATGTACGAAAAGGGGCGAAAGGGTGAGAATTATGATTATTAATTAATTCGCCGTACATATAAGAAAAAGCCGTAAAAGCTCTAGACTCGAGCGCGAGATGATGATAATTATTATATCCATTTCCAGAGTACAGAGGAATACACAGAGTTTACTTACCGAGCTTATCTTTCAGTCCTATGCACTGAGATATGTGTGGAAACTGAAGTATCTTGCGCCATTTTTTGCTCTTGCCTTTGTTGCTGTCACCACCACCTGCGAACAATAAAATTTATTGTGTGAAAAAAACGAAGTTTTGAATCATTGATCGTTTGATTTTCAAATATTAGTAAAAAAATAGAGAGAAAAGAAAAATTTCACGCGACATAGATGCATCGTTCGAAGGTTAAAACCTTACACGCGTATCTGCCGATGATTGATGAATTTTTTACGTTTAATATCTTACGCATACACGCGCGTTCACAAACGTATCTACCTACATCTAGCTTCGAGAGGATATTTTTACTTCTTATTATTATTTTTTTCCCCCTTGCGATCGAGGATAGAACAATTTTTCTCTTTCCGAATTATTTTCCCAGCGACACGTAACAAAAAAAAAAGAAGAAGAAGTCGTGGCACACATACGATATTATATGCGCCAAGCCATGAGGCCGCATGCGTAAGCGCAGTATAGTCGTTATAATACACAAGATTGATCGAGCGGCAACGACGATGATGATAATGATGAAAAAAAAAAATGAGGAAAAAATACGAAGAAGAAGAAGTAGAAACTTTCGGTTGGGATAAAGCGACTTATTATCACTTAAAAAATCGATCGCATATAATAAGCCAAGAGATATCTCGCATTACGTTCAGCTGATTTGGTATTCACCGGGGTGGCCGCTGCGTGTTCACGGGCTATGGTGAACTTTTCACCTCGCAGCCAATGGGGAGGGAGAAAAAGAGAGAGAGAGAGATAGAGAGTTGAAAAAGTTTTTTCGATTATTTATCGAAGTTAAAGAAAAACAAAAAAGACAGGAAGAGAGAGAGAGAGAGAGACTGAAAGAGAAGAAAGTTGAGGAAAAATCAGATGAAAATTCGTTCAGCATAATTTTTAATATTACGGTCTTGGGAGTTGCTGCTCGCGAACTGGATGCGCGCAATTTATATTCACGCTTGTTATTCGAATTTCTTATACACATTCCGCCAACGGCGTTTGATATGAAAACACAAAATTTATAATTGGAAAAAAAGATTCTATAATGGATTGCGTACACTCGTTTCTAGTTGATTTTTCAATTTTATGCTCTCTCTCGAATCATCCGTACGCTGGTTTTACATTATACATCGGTGATAAGTAGCCTCGGGCTAAACGATGTAAGTTATGCATAACATTGGAAATGTAACGATAACACAAATTCGTTGGTCGGTAAGCGCGCGCATCAATCGCCGTCGCGAGCCTTTAATAAAAAAAGAATATATCATATTGTGCACAGAGCTCAAATTAAGTTAAACGCGAAATTGCCAAGAGAGAGAGGCAGTTATCTCATTAGCGACACGTAATAACGCGCAATAAATCTCATTGCGCTATTCGAGACGCACAATGAAGCCTCTATTTCTCTCTCTCTCTCTCTCTCTCTCTCTCTCTCTATAGTACAGTGAATGAGTGCGTGTGTATTTGCAGCTCTCGCGGCTCGGTCCGCGCGCGTTTTAATAACCCGACGCGCGGCAGATAGTATAGCAGTAGTATTATAATAAGTAGCAAAATAGCCCGCATTATTCGCGCAAAGAATGGAGCTCATTTTCCATTCAAAACCCATATATATATAACGGTGTAAAGGATATAATAATAAACTGGCGCCGAGGATTAGTTCGAGATGTGAATTTTTTAATTATTATCAAACGCGATATCCCTCCCCCCACCCGTTTATTCACGGCCGAATAAACACTATAATTGTTTATTTCATTATTGTTTTTCTCTTTCCCTCTCGCTATTTCGTTTCTTTGATAAAAAAAACTTTCTTTTTAATTAAACTCGTTCGAGATGATAAAATAAAAAAAAACTGAGAGGGATTCGATTCTTTTTTTTTGTTTTTCAAACGCGCTTCTCTTTCTTTCTAGATTCCTCGTCGACGCTCGATTTGCATTTTCTCCTCTCTATATATCTATCTCTTCCAGCAGCTCTGCAATCACGTCGAATTAAGAGCAATGAAACGCTCGTAGTCGTCGTTGCGTTTATATAGAAGCTGCTTTTCAACCGAGCATGTATAGAAGTATGCGTACGAGAGAAATAGAGGCGCGCGCGGACTATTATGACATACGATCCACCTATACGTATATAAACGCGCGTCTTCTTGTTATGCATCTATCTCTATGATGTGTATCCGCGTGTATCGAGTCGAGATCATCGGACAACCTGCAACTTTACGTACGTATATATCTACACACTTTGTAAATCGGATATAATACATATATAGAGCTGCTCTCTAGTCGGTGTCCGGTTGTATACGAGGGATATATAGGTTCGCGTCTCGGATTCAACTACGACACACACACGCGTGATCTTTCGCTCTTTATAGCCGTGGGTCTTTACGATATTATATGCAGTTTAGAGGTAGTGCGTCGTTAGCTGCTCTGCAGCTTTGAGCCTCGAGATCATCGGCGCGCACGTGTCGGTCGCAGTGATTTTATTTACTTACTTTTCATCGAGCTTTAACCGCGATCGGACGAGAATAGATGAAAATTCAATACTCGATATTGTTTCTTTTTTTTTTCATTCTCGACGAATGCATCGATTCAACCGGTATTATCTCGATTATCATAATTATAAACCCTACGGAACCTCGTTACCCCCCCCGTGATTAGATCTCTCGGATTTTTCCAATAAGCCTTGGGAGATAATCCTTCGTCGGGGCCGATCGTCATCGATGTGCATTCGTGATAAAAAGTAAAAAGGGAGTAAAGAGATAAAGTAGAAAAACGCATAAACTGATGTAAAAAAAAAAAAAAAAAGAAATCCGATGGCCATTACGGCCGATCGCCGCACTCGTACGATTTATATTATATCGCGCCCGAGCAAATGAAATTCAATTCCAAAAAAGCTCGGCTCGGTATACGGCACGCAAAAAAAGAACAAACGTACCCCATCTCTCTTTCACTTCATATATATATACACATCGTATCAATACACTCCATTTAACGTTTTTTATGTATATGTATATAAATTTTTCAAAAGATAAAACTTTAACGTGACCGCCGCGATACGTATATACTACGTAGTATATACGCGGATGCGGCAGAAGCTTCCCGTCCCGACGCGCATAAACACATATAAGCCTTGTATCGTATGTGTGTGTGTGTGTGTGTGTGTACGCTGGTGGACCCGGACAACACGCGTACTTTAATTTCCCGAATGGCCTCTCCTCTGTGTGCTGCTGCTGCATAGCGCAGCACGCGGTCCGATACACACGCACGCAAACTCGCTCGCGCGCCGCGCGCGGCATCTAATTAACCTTTGGGTCAAAGCACACACACGCATGTGTAAGTATATACAGCTTGTGTCCACGGTCATGATGCACCACTACTACTCTATGTGCGAAATTCCATCGTCTCACTTTCGGACCTCTCTCTGGGTACACAAACCGGACTCTACATCGCATCGCATATTTGCGAGAAACATGCGCTTGTGTGTGTGTACAAGCTCGTGTACCAGTGATCGATCGGAGAGAAAGACAGAAAAAAAAGAGGAAGAGAGAGGGAGATATAATAAAAGCGAGGAAAAAAAGAAGCTGCGAGCTAAATATTTACGAGAGAGCTGGCGATCGAGCTTTTGTGCGCGCTCGCGATTCGGAGTACGCGTAAATATATGCGAACGCGTATATATACGTACTGCATTATGTAGCGAGCTTGCGCGAGAAGCGCCTCGTTATTTCATCCGCGCGCGTATACGTATACTTGAGAGAGCGTAATTTTCATACAGAGTGTTAATTACTCGAGTTCGGGGCCGCGCGCCGCTATATTATATATGCGTGCGTGTGTGTACGTATGATGCACGCGAAGAGGAGGAGGCTGTATAATTGGTGTATCGTAATTTTTACGGGAAACAGCTCTACGCCAGAGGCCGTTTTTGCATCATCGTGAAAGCAGCAGCAGCAGCAGCAGCGGTGGTAGTTCGTCGTCATCGCATCGTCCGATTTTATGCTCGCGCACTCGATACGCTCTCAGCTCTGTATATTATTTGCGCAAGCTCGAGAGGAGATCTCTCTCTCTCTCTCTCTGTGCCGTACATAAAAGCGCAGTAATTTATTCATTAAATATCGATGCTTCGGAAATGAGGCAGGAGAGGAAGATACAGCGAGAGCCTGTGTAACGAAGCTTCCATATAATATACGTGCGTGTATATGTATGTGTGTATTATATCGTACACCGTACACGCATATAATAATACAGAGAAGAAAAGCTCGACGCTTTTAAAGCCCGCGTAATTTTCGTCTCGGTTTATGCAAATGAGCAATACGCACACGCGGAGAAAATAAGAGCCCCCGACCAAAAAAAAAAGATTTACATTCGTTATTTACGAGCTCGATCGTAAAAATTGAGCAATTTGTAGAGAGGGAGAAAGCTTTTCCGTTTCGAGTTTTTGCGTGCGCGAGTGATGTTGCTGCTTTTATCAGGCCACTCGCGCGCGCGCGCTCGCGAAAGCAGTGCCCGCGGCGCGTGTATGTAGAAAATAGGAGAATGTGATACTTGAAAAAAAAAAAAAATAAATAAAAAATCGCTGACAATACATTGGCTAAGAGCTTTCTTCTGAAAATGTGATTTTTCCTATCTTTTTATGTGCAAATGTTAATAAAATAAGACATTGTCCTATTTTCTAGATTTATAACTATTCGAATATTCTACGAGTGTCCGTATTGTTTGTTATCTATTTACAAGTTCGAATGCAGCTTTTTCACAATCACGCGAATCTAGGTAAAAAGTCTGGACCTTAATAACGGTTTGATGACAAAAAAATATTTTTTAAATGTTTTGAAATTACCCTTGATTGGCTTTGTTTGAGTCTATTGAAATTATGTTAAATTTATTGAGTTCGTTTTACATGTCCTAAAAATGATAATTTGACTGTTTCAAAAAATGTGGATCAGTTTTCAGTCGCTTTAAATATGATGATACTACTTCGGGCATTCACCACTAGATGGCGAGTACCTTTAACTGCAAATCTGCATGTGGCAAAGTCATAATAATTGTATAAGTCAAAATATGGTTCAATATGGCCA